GCCATTGTACTCCCCGTCACCGCACACACAATAACCGTATCAAAAAACACGCCCAGCTCCTTCTCCTGCGCCTCCACCTCAAACGCCCACCGCGCGAAACCAAGCCCTCCAAGCGGATGATCTGACGCCCCAGCAGGGATATAATACGGCTTCCCCCCTTTCCCTCGAATCTCCTTCTCCAGATCCTTCAAGGTATCCTTATGCTCGATCCCAAACGGCGACGGATCAAGCCGCGTATCCGCGCCCATAAGCCTCGACAGCTGGATATTCCCCGCCTTATCATATACCACGTCCTCCCAATCCACCCACTTCTCCTGCACAAGCGCAACCTCCATCCCCATTTTGCGCGCCACAGCCGCAACCTGGCGCGTGTGGTTCGACTGAAACCCGCCGATGGAGACGAGCGTGTCGCATCCTTGTGCCAGTGCGTCTGAGGCCAGGTACTCCAGCTTCCGGGTCTTGTTGCCGCCGTAGGCTAGGCCTGAGTTTACGTCTTCGCGCTTTGCGTAGATGGCGACTTTTCCGCCGAGAGCTTTCGTTATATTGGGTAGGGATTGGATGGGCGAGGGCCCGAATGTGAAGGTTTCACGCGGGATGGCGGAGAAAGCGGGTGGGAGAGTGAGAGTAACCATTCTGGTAGCTATTGCTAGGGTGTAGGTACTTTGTTGACTGTTGTTTTATTTAGGGAGGGGTTGGTAGGGCTGACTGGATATATAGCTCGTTACTTATCGGAGTTCATGCGAAGTATACACAAGGAGGGGAAGCTGTCGGATAACTGGGCGGAATTATCCGTCGGAGAAATACCAACATGGTTGGTCGAATTAATCTTATCGATCGAGTCTCTGTCGATCTTCCGCCGGAAAGGGAAAGTTCCACGTCGGAGAACGGGGGGTTCAAGTATAAGCATCAGTAACTTCAATATTTAGTAATGTGGCTTGTTGCTTTATGAGTTTATGGAAGAAAGCTGTTAATATGGTTGTGGTTTGTAACAGAACGTTTGGGTATTTAGTTATTCTTGTGTGCGTCGAAGGCGGTTTAACTGCGCCCAAGTCCAGCATTTACATTTATTGCGCAACGATCACGCAAGCTGCGAAATCTCAACCTTCCCCCACCAAAACTTCGTCTCCTCTCTGGCCCACTCATCAGACACAAACTTCGCAGCCGGAGCGACAGTCCCCCCGATAAGTTCTTCGTTGTCTTCTCCAAATATCAAGATACCCGGGCTAGCAGGCTTATAAGGCTTCCACTCCGGCCGCGCTGCGTACCTCCCAGGAACGGCATTCGGGTCTCCATGTGTGATGAAACTTGTTACGTACGCATGCAATGTACCCGAAAGCTCCTTCTGTGATTCAGAAAGCCCTGTGATATCGTCGTTGTAGGTCTCGTAGTACATGTTATCGCCGTGGTTTGCGCGGCCGATTACCGTCCTTGGAAGCGCCCAGTTGTAAAGGTACACCGGGGGAGCGTTCTCCTTGGTCGAGGAGGCAAAATGTGCTGTTTGGCGCACAGGTGCAACGTATGCATAATGGCCGTAGGCCGCTTCAATGCGCTTGTATTGGGGTCCTAACTCGAGTCCTGTTCGAGTCTCGATGTATGGCGAGTTTTTATCAGCGCTGGGGTCGGGATAAAGCCTGTCAATGGTGTCGAGGTCGGAAGAAGAGAGTTGAGGGAGGAGATTTTGCCAGAAGTCGCGAAACTGGGTCGGATCTGCCATCTGTTTGTCCACGTACATAGTCCCCTCGTTTGTGTTGAAGCCGGTCATGATCGGTACTTTGTGCCATTGACCTGAGGTCCATGCATCGAGCGGCTTACGGGCAATGATATCTCCGTCAATCACGGGCTGGAAGGCCCAGCGTAAGGATGGATTATACTTGTCGAACACGGCAGTTTGGGCATCGGTTATGGCTGCGCTGGGTAAAGACCAAAGATATGGGAAGATTTCCGACTCTGGAAGGCCTGGAGGGCAGCCAACTTCTCCAAGAAAGTCGCGGAATTGTTCTTCATGCACAGCGGCGTCATAAGGGCGGACGGCGCGGGATGTTGGGGCACCGGATTCGAGGATAACACGGTGGAAGAGAGGGGCTTTCTGTGCATCGTAGTTGAGGAGATGGTGCCCAATCTGTTGTCTGGTCAGTATAGACAACACAATCACCCGCAAATTTACTCACGGAATGAGCTCCAGCAGAGAGACCAAATAGTGTGACAGTCTCGGGATCGCCTCCAAACTGTGCGATATTCTCTTGCACCCATTGGAATAGGAACACTTGGTCTCGCAGACCTAAATTCAAAACCCCTTCCTTCTTTGACAAAGTTGATGGCAAAAATCCAAGGGCTCCGATACGGTAGCCAAAACTAACGGCGACGAAGGGCTCCTGTGACCAAGCAACCATCGACGCAGTTTTATGCATCGCTGCCGATCCCCGATTGAACGCACCGCCATGGATGTAGATGGCTACTGGAAGCTTATTGGCAGCCTTGGCCTGAGTCGATGGTCGGAAGACATTGACGGTGAGGCAGTCTTCGCTCTGCTCGACGGCTGGGCCTGGAAGCAAAGCTTTCCCTGGCGCTGCGTGGCCATACTTGGACGCGTCAATGCGCTCTGTTGACTCGGGGAGTTTGGCAGCAGGTCTGAAGCGCAAGTCACCGACGGGAGGGCGGGCATATGGAATACCGAGAAAGGCGTCGACGGACTGGGGAAAGTTGTTTTCAAGTTGAACACCAACGACCTTACCCTGGGGGAGGGTGACCGACGGGCGTGTTGTGTCCGAAGCCATATTTTTTCAGCTTATCAGCAACTTGGCAACACTAGGTCAAAAATATCAGCCGAACAGGGAACAGTGAGGAGAAAGTTCGCTGATTTTGGTAAAAGGAGATCACAAAGAATTTATCGTCCAATAACTTGACAAGTGTGGTAAGCCTGCTGACGTCGGACTGTGCTCCGTTGGAGAAAAACCTGACCCCGCAAACAAACAAAACCTTAGATATCGGAAAACGCCCAAGTAGTTCCCCGCTGCCTCGATGATAAGCTTCTGGGATCCTGTTTAGAATGTTATCAGCCATGCTATCTCTGAGAGACTGCCAGATACTCGGCCGTCTGGACGCTCCATATATTGTGGACCTGATAGCCTGCCAGCATCTTTTCCAACTGTATTCCTTCAACATTGTGCTTCCATCATGGAAGACAACAAAATGAAACAGCCCATTGAAGCTCCAGAGGAGGATGCTAAGGATATTCAGGCGGGGATTATCGAAGGCCTTGACGAAGGCGAAGTCTTCCTCAGGCAACACGGCTTCACGAGTGATGACATCCAAAGACTCTTGGACGACAGCGCACGCAATAAGGCCCTCGTGCGTAGAGTCGATCTGATTCTCCTGCCGCTTCTTGCAGGGACATATATGCTGCAGTACATTGATAAATCGGCCCTGGCCTACTCAGCCGTCTTCGATCTGCTGCCTTCAACCAACATGACGAGCGCGCAATACGGCTGGCTGGCAAGCATCTTCTATTTCGCCTATCTCATCGCCGAATACCCCTGGACATTCCTTGCGCAGAAAACCAAAATGGCCAAGGTCGTCTCAGGAAATATCATTGCCTGGGGCGCGATGCTGATGATCACAGCCGCCTGCAACTCCTTCACGGGGTTGGCCATCTGCCGTTTTCTCCTTGGTGTTTTCGAGTCCCCAATCACCAACTGCTTCATGATGATTGTGGGGATGTGGTACACCCGGCCTGAGCAGCCTTTCCGTGCGGGAATATTCTACAGCTGCAACGGACTAGGTGCCATGGTCGGCGGAATCCTGACATTTGGCATCGGCCAGATCAAGACAATCGCTGTTTGGCGAGCCATCTTCCTCATTCTCGGCGGCATCACCGTCCTCTGGGGCTTCATCATGCTGGCTTTTCTCCCAGACGACATAATCTCTGCGAAGAGATTCACAATTGAAGAGAAAGCCCTCCTCGTTGGCCGGGGTAGACTAGCCCGTACAGGCGTCCTCAGCCACCAGATCAAGTGGTACCAGATCCGTGAAGCCCTCGTCGACCCCCAAGTTTGGATCCTGTTCCTGTTTATGCTGCTGAACGAGGTAATCAACGGCGGCATTGCCAACTTCAGCAAGCTCATCATCAAAGGCCTCACCGGCGACCCTCTGACAACAGTTGCCTTGGGCATTCCCTTCGGCGCCTTCCAGCTCTTATGGGTGCTCTCAGGAACATTCATTGCATCACGGTTCCGAGATTTTCGCACGATTGTCATGTTCCTGTACCTTCTCCCAACCATAGCCGGTGCCTGCATGCTGTGGAAGATCAACCACGAGACGCACAGGATCTCGGTACTATTCGGATACTATATTATCGGGTCATATGTGTGCAGCTTAGTCCTGGCACTGCAAATGCCTGCTTCCAATCTGGGTGGTTACACGAAGCGTATTACGAGTGTTGCGTTGGTGTTTCTGGCATACTGTGCTGGAAACATCATTGGGCCGCATGCGTTTCTAGCAGAAGAGGCCCCGGTCTATCAAACGGGGTGTAAACTTGCCTTGTCGTGTTCCACGGCTCAGGCTGCATTGGCCGTTTGTTTGCGATTATTGCTGATCCGTCGGAATAAACTGAGAGATGCAGCTGCTGCGAACTCGCCTGCGGCAGAAGAGGAGGAGCTGGCGGATCTGACAGATTTTGAGGTGAGTCCATCTATCGACTATATTCTTGCTGAGAGATGCTCATGCCAATATAACAGAATCCCCGATTCCGATACGTACTATAACATATATAGTAGACTGGACCATGGACTGGAAAGATGATGCATTAGTCTTTTGGAATAAAACAATTGGGATTGCTAAACTATCTCGACGCGCATTTTAATCCGAGGATAATATCTGGCAGCCGCCTTGGACCACAACTGTAACCACAATATAAGGAAGGGCACTGTGTACCTTCTGCTAATCGTAAGCCCATACTGTTTAGTTCTTGATGGCAACGATAATTGATGCATTAAGTCACCAGCCTAGTCACTGAAAAGCCAAGTATAGTCGGCCCCTTCATCAAACTGCCACCCATATCTCTTCGCATCGACTTCCTTTGGATTAATTATGGGCCGGCGCCCGTACATAGAATTACGATTGCCCGAACCTCTTAATCCAAGGCCTACCAATCTATAACTCTATGGCCAGGTCGGTTAATGCACTCCAATAAGTGATCGACCGAGGTGCTCACCTCAAATGTGGCGACAACCTGGACCACCTCATTTAGGCCCATGTCAAATCCGGAACAGCCATCGGGCTCGTAACCTAGAATCTCAGGCTGAGCCTTGGACTTATGATGCCTGTTCAGGATACCAATGCGATAGATTGCCTGGGCGTTGTAGCTAATACGGAAACCGACGAATGACTGCGCATCGAACAGTGCATGCAGCCCAGCACAATCAAGGCGACATTTCGCTTCTTGGCTCTTGTTAAATTCACTGAATAATTCGCGGCATTTTGAAATATCAACCTCGAAATACTTTGATCCCACAGTCATACTGGTTCCGTCCTTATCAATAAGCTCCAACGCCAGTATTTCAGTCGGATGTGGCTTCAATTCAGCAAATTTAAAGGAGACTTCGATCTTAGCTAGAGATGAAGGCACTCTAACCCTTTCAACTCGCCTTCCCGCCGCACAGGTGTCATTGTGGTAGTCTTGTAATGACCTACCGTAAAAGCCCAACGGCGGTTCCATTGAGCCTTCGTCCGCTTTAACCGTATCTTGGATCCACCGGACTGTTTCCCATACCGGGACTGTGAGATCAAACCTATTTTCGAGCTCTGCCGAGGCATGGTAAAGAAGCCGCCAGTCAATCTGGACATCCTCGCCATGATCTCGAAGAATATGGTGAAGGAAGCCCCGGTCACCGTCATACTCGAAGCGCGATCTCCAAAAGTAGCCCTCGTTGAACAGTCCTGTCATTGTTCTTGATGCGAGACGCAGATTGAGGAAGTCCCACGTGGGAAGTGATTGTACAATGGCATGGCGGAGTTCCTGGGGCAGACATCGGAACGAGTCACTTGGGTTGCACCACTTTTTCATCCTCAGCGCCACTCTCCTTGAAGGTGCTGGGGGAGTCTGTGTGTCCCTCAAGAGCTCTTCCCAGCCAGACGAGACAAGGATAGTAATCGGCCACACGTAAGAAGGACGGATCTTTAAGGAAATAAATCAGTTGTCAACTGTCAACTCTGCCAAAACGGTGTGCGACATATACTCGCCTTTAGGTGGCGGGGGCATTCTTAGGGCATCGTATAGTTTCTCAAGGCCGATGAACTCTTGCCCAAAGCACTTGATCAAATACTGCCAGCAGCGCTCATGGAAAAGAAAATAGTCCCCTACTGGCCAAGTCGCCCCCGTTTTGGTTGACCAGGGCGCGTCTTTCGGCCAGATTGCTATCCTTTTATCTGACTGCATATGCAGCGTAACCTCACGATAGAAGGTGCACAGCTCATACAGTCTGGCTTTCCCATCCCGCGGGGCCACTACTAAACATGCGCTGCACATCACCATCCGACGCCCTGGAAGTTATCATATAGTCACGGATTTGGCTCCTAACTTCTTCCCAATCATTCTCGTTGGGCATGGTTTCAAGTTGGGATACTGAGAGGCACTGCTTTGTTGTGTTACTAGTGTTACTTGTGTTACCCAACGTATTCTATTGTCTATAAAATTCATAATGGAGAATTAATACACCATTGTGGTCTAAGTAAGCCATTTCTAAAGACCGCTAAATACCACGGTAACCGTACTCATCTAGATACGACATCTGCCAAAGATCGGGAAACGCTGGTGTCTCGCCCATCAGGCCTGGAATAGATCCGAACGTCATGAACGTTTGAAGGAAGCCTGGATCCCCAATTCCATCAGCCGCAGGGTCGCTAATAGCCTGGTTGGGGAGTTGTTGGAATGGGCCCTCGGGCTGGCCCGCGTGGTCGACTGCACTCCCATTAGCAAGAAACTGAGGCCCTGAAGCGTTACCGCTATTGTTCTCTTGGTGTATCCTGTCGCTTGCGTGTTGTCCCGCGTGCGGATGCTTTCGCCACATCTCCAGATAATCCGTGTCACATAACCTATCGACAACGGCCTCACATTGTCCGAGGCAGATGTCGGTAAGATCCCAGTTGGCGTCATTTTTCATACTGCGCAGGAAGTTCATCAACTTCTTTGCGCTGGCTACGCATTCCTGTGCCGTGTCGGCGTTTTCTGCTTCTAACGCGCAGCGAAGTGTCAGCGTAGCGGCTGATGTGAAGTGATATGCTGTATATGGTAACCAGAAAGTATTTATCTCATCTCTTTCCAGGTTGGTTGTGAAGTCTATTACGGCTCTTGCTGCTTTTCGACATCTCGACCGGTAGTACATTTTATCTTCATCCACGACTGACTCGTTGGATCGGTGGATCTCCAAGAGAGCAATCCTGGAAAGGCATAGCTTAACTGCCAGGAATGAAAGTTGTAGATTCAGGGCCCCTGCTGCTTTTCTCTCGAATCTCGGTGAGGTGGGGCATAGCCAGGACTGTAGGCTTTCTTCCCACTCGTTCAATGCGGTCTCGTGTCGCCGCAACTCCCTGAAGGAGCTTTCCAGGGGTTGAGTCTCCAAGGCATATATTAGTGGCAATATTTTCCCGAGAAGAGAAGTTAGAGAACAAAGGGCAATAAAGGAGTAAGCTCCCTGGATTCGAGCATCAGGTGGAAATGTTGCATTGGACGGCATGCTAATCAGCAATGATTCCGAGTCCGGCAATGGCACGTCCCAAACTGACTTGTGTATATGAGGGGGCGTTCCGTGTGAGAGACTCGCCCTAAGTTGATCAGCATTTTCTTCCATCTATACCAATCTAATAAGCCCGATAAGGGGAACCGCACCATTGGTCATGGATCAAAATACCCCACCAAGTTCGTATTCGAAGGCTCTTCTGACGAGGGTCAAGACCCCATGTGGTAGGATTGCGGTTAAGCCCCAGGCTCTGAGACAGGGCAACGACCCGACCGACATTGATGGCATTATAGGTGATGGAAGTGATTGGACGGCCCAGAAGATCCAGGATGCAAGCAAGAACGGTGGAAAAATTGGGACTCAGAAAATCGTCATTCATCGCGCTGACGGTCAGATTCCACATGTATCGAATGTCTGGAACAGGACGGCTAGTAGCGGTGATCTTTGAGGAGCTTCTCCAGAGAAGGAGCGAGCAAGCATATATCTCACAGGCTAGCGCATACGGGAGACCATCATGCTGGTAAGCCTCTAAGACGGTTTTCTCGTCTAGAATCGGGAATGGCGGTTGGATATTATTAAAGTAGCTAGAGTGATACTGTCAGATGCTTTCCCTCCCGTCGAAAAGAGTCTGTTACGGACACATTGCATAGTTCGGGTCCCAAGGGCTCAACGACCTTTTCCATCGCCTCGAACTGTCTGAACCCTGCGGTGCCGTTCCCTGAGGGCGCAATGTTACGCTGCCGGGGAACTTTCATGTAGATAACGGGGTTGCGGGTATCATCGGAGTAAACACTGTACGGGTTGGGTCTGGCGTAGGAAACCGCTGTGTTGTTAATGGACGACATGCATTGCTCAAGAACCTGAGCGTCACGAGCCATTGCTGGTCCGACAATGTGGCCGGATTGATTAGATGCATCGTTTTGGGTGAAGCCTGGCGTCGCTGCAGATTGCCGTCTTGCGGGTTGATGGACACTCCCCGCGTAGTCGGGGTCTCCTGGTGCAGGCGACGGAGAGAGTCTCGGGTGCTGCCCCTGAATTTCCTGGGGCGTATTGTCTATGAGACGCCGCCTCTTTGTAGTTGCCGTGGGGGTTTCGACTGCTCTTGAACAGGAGGCCCCGTGCATGCGACATAAAAGACATGGCTGATCGGCGATTTCCTGCGTACATCGACTTCTCCGCTTCCGGCAAAAGTCGCACGCCGGGATTTTGTGTGATCGATACGGGCGGGCTGTGAGCGGAGAAGTACGAGGAAGAGGGTCGGTGTTCTTGCTGATATTATTGGGCATTGTAGTAGGTAATCTGGGGGGTTCAATTGCATTAGAAAGGAACTCGTTCGAGTTGTTGTCGAACGGGCGGAAAAGGGACCCCACCTGAGCTTGGGCGACGGGAAACCAAAGGTCTTTCACAGGCCGGCCAAGCTTGGGACAGACGGGCAATTCCTTTGGAACACAACGCTCATGGGGAACAATGTGAAGTTCCAATTGTCCATAGATCTATCTACTCGTCAATCATATGTAATGTTATTCGACTTTGAGTGCTTAAGGACGGGATAAAAGCCACGTGAGTATTGCAGACCCAAGACCCACCAGCTTCCACAGCAGACGGGTGGGTCTGTCTTCATGTGGAGGTTGCTGTCAAAGGGCTACGTGAAGAAATCTCTGGAACAAAATATTGAGATACACCCCTTTTTACTACTTAGTTTGTAGCCCAGCTAGTTATTCATACACGTATCGTGTGAAATATCATGCGTCATTCGTCATATCAACATGACATGATCATCTCGACAGCTCAAAGAAATACGTTTAAGTTCTCGCCTCTTCGTCCTGTTTCAACCCTGACCCCTCATACCGGGACTGCTTGAGGGTGTTCAGTTCATCCTCCTGTCTATCCAGCTTGTAGTTGCTGGCCCAGAAGCCGATGCCGCCGATATAGGCCAGGATGGCAACGAGTGTGTAGTTCCACACAAGCAAGGGGTCGTCCGATAGACCTACCAGAGCCTGGCCGATTGCAGAGGAAATGGCATTCATGAAAAGCGAAACGGCCTGTACGAGGCTACGCATGTTTTTCGGTGCCTTTGTATAGGCGTACTCGAGAGATGTGACGGAGGCCAAAATCTCGGAAATGCCACCCAGGATGTAGGTGAGGGCCTGTACCCAGACAGAGATTGGGGCATGTATTTCCGGAAGGCAATCATTAGGTTGATCTCCACATTCACCGAGCTTGTAGATATAGTGTTGAGTGACGGTGGCAACAATCATCCCGCTCCCGGCAACGAAAAAGCCTGCTGTGATACGCTTGAGCGGAGTGAAGTTAATCCCAATACGGCGAAGGAAGGGATAGAGTAAGCGATCGAAAATTGGGATGAAGATGATCAGGGCAAGAGGGTTGAAGTTATTGATGATATCGTTGGGAACCCCACCGAGTTTCATAGTCGCAGCTTGGGAAGTGAGGTTGTTAAGCATTTGGTTGTAGGCGAGCCAGTACAGGGGATACCATAAAAACACCCGGCATGCCTTCAAACCACGGGCCACTTCATCAACCCACTCGTCGTCAAAAGTCATCCAACCCGGACGGTTATCTCCAAGAGTGCTAGGCTTCACAGTATTCCAGAAGTCTGTATCATTTTTCTTGAATCTTATTGACGTTAGAATCATGTAGCAGAAGGTAGTTGAAGGTATGGGGCGTACATCTTGAAAGGAATACCAACCACCTTGACTGTCTTGACAGACCAGTGTTTCCTGACACCTTCTCTAATCAGGCGGTACGCCTGAGTATAGACAGAGCCTGTCGGAGGCACTAGGCGGTATTTGTTTCGGCAGAGGAACAGCACCAGCGGCGCTAAGCAGAACATGACCGTAGGTAGCAAGAATGACAGCCAAAAGCCGACTCCACGCTCTGCGTAGACCATGCTGATTTGACCGGTAAGTGAGCCAATGTTAATCATCAAGTAAAAGTAGAGATAAACACGAGCAACTGTGGCAGCAGGGTCGATTATGATACGTTCGCCTGATGGCAATGTCTTAATCACAGGCTGCTCATCAGGGTACTGTTCAGCGATCAGGGCCGATATGTTTGACTTGAAGCCACCAGTTCCAACACCCATAATAACCAGGCCAATTGCGAAACAGGCAATAGCGCCATTCGGATTTGCAATCACAGGAGGGATGGCGGAAATGATGAGGGTGACATGACCGACCAACGCAGCGGCGATGGAAAACATGATTGTTCGGAAACGACCCAAGTACTGATCGGCTACCCAGGCACCAGCGAGAGGCATCACGTAGGCCCAGAAAGAGTTGACTTAACATGTTAGCATCGGAAGAAATAGCATGCGAGTATGCTGTGTTACTTACACAAAGTCAAACCAGTAGAGGCCTGCTGGCCCATCCCTAGGGCGCCAGGAACGTCGGATCCGCCAGAGAGAGCACCAGTAGTAGAGCCAGGAGGCAGGGGTTGCTGAATGAAGTTGACGACTGTTGCGGGTCAGAAAAAGCCAATAGCGGTTTTTAGAACACAGGTCGCGTACAAACAGCGGTGGTTCCGTAGTAGGAGAAACGCTCGCAGAGCTCGACGAAAGCCACAGAGAAGGTGATCCAGTTAAGAGGACCAGCAACACGACGGAGCGTTTGCATCTCCTCGGACGTGGGGTGAAGCTTGTTCAAGGCCTCATTTTCCTCGCCCGCAGGGTACTGGGGAAGAGGTTCTTCAACGATGGCCTCCTTGGCGATCAGGTCCTTCTCAGATGGAAGCTGGGCATTTTTCTGGGCAGCGACGACTTCGCCAATCTCGACAGAGTCGGCCTGGTTCATGGCGACAATCTGGTATGGGTCCTATGGGATCTTGGATGACAAGACTGTACAGAGGGGTCCCACGAGAGAAGAGAAGAGAGAGAAAAGTTAAAGGATGGCGGGGAAACAATGCGCTTTTAAGGTAGGAGCCGGGGCTGCACAGGAAAAAGGAATAACAAGACAGCGGCGAATCATGGGGCTGGAGAAGGAATCGAAGAGGATGGCTATCGCGTACCAGCAGCAGGCGAGAACAAATGGATGGATCCATCGTCGATGGTAGTCGGGGTTCGCCGCAGGCTTGGGAGCAAATTTAGTAGTGCTTGGCCAGCCGTCGACCTCGCAGTTTTTGGAATCTAGTCTACAGATGATAACAGTATAATTTCCGATGGCACCATGATCCATTCCGGGGCTTTGGCCGAATTAGTGCTGCGCAACATCGTTTCATATCAGCGCCCAAGTTGTTGGCCGGCTGTAACCGACCATCAAAGCAAGCTAATTGTCCAATAACAAGCATCTTAGTTGATTCTGGAAGGTCTTGATGTGGTCTTGGTCCTGCTTGGAGGTGCTTCCTTCTTCTTTGCAATAAAGAGTGGAGAGGGCTTATCGCTCTCCTGAAGCCACCTGACTTGGCGTTATCAGAGCTCCACAGTGCGTGATTGGCTAGCCCCGAGTGGCGGAACCAAGCATGGGCTCTGGGAGTTGTGCTTCAGTGTAACCTTCCGGCTTGGCGTGGCCAATCAGGGCTCAAAGGATCTGTTGATGCGACCTCAAACTGCAGGGAAGTCAAGTCTCAAACTCAATCCGGAGCACTTTGTGTTCGAGTGCGGGCAGTGACCCCGGAATCAGTCTCTCGTATCTGCTCGCGTCTTTTCGTTTTGTCTCTTCTGTTGGTAATCGCCCCCATCGAGTTTCCGCGAATATATGAGATGTCTGGGCCAAGGCTCGCCAAGCCATCCAAGGATGGGGATGCCATTTCTCTTTGATAATATGAACCCGCCAATTTCGCCTCGGTAGACAAGACTGGCAAGGATGCTAGTTTGCTCATTGATAGCGAATATTGCTAAGTCGCATTGGGGAGGCTGGACTCGAGACTCGAGAAATGGCGCCATTCCGCCTGCCTTGCTAACACCTGTCCGGCGTCCTGGTCTAGAGTACAAAGCCGAAATGTGTGGTAGCATTTTGTTCCATTCACGACTGGGAGGATCAGTGATCCTCGAAGAGGGAGAAACGCAACGTTTTACTGTAGATAAGCTTCCAGAAGTTTGAGAATAATGTTCGCTCGCAAGAAGCACGAGGTATCAATGCAGGGTTCCATCCCCCAAGCTGGGGTTGACCCACAGAGCAGCCCGTCAAAGGAACAGGATGGATGCACATCCCAGCTGCGTTTTACTTGAGCCAACCAATGATTGCCATTGGAGCCTGCGAGAGTCATGCGGACGGGAGATTTCCATCTTATCTGGCTTTGGTGACGGCAATCATCGGCCCCTGCTTGCGATGTCTGTGAACCACACCAGAGGCGTGAGTCCAGTGACCACGGCCAAACTCAATTTTCAACTCATCACCTGTGGAGACAGAGGCATTAGCAATCCTGTGGCCTCTGTCAACCACACCCCGGCTTCGAGCATATTGGCTTCTAGCTCTTACCGAGACACTCAAATGGCCAAATGCAGCCCCAGCCTGGAGAATTCTACGCTTATATGTGAGTGGTGAATGAGTGGCAGGCATTGAATAAATAAACATGAAGGTGCTAATCTCCTAGGTAATGAGCTGTATATCGGGTTCCAGACACTTAGGGCTTCATTTATTCCCAAATAGGGAACCTCAATAACTTGTCTTTAAAACACTGGGTTTTCCGCCTATGTCTGGTTTATCTAGGTGCAGATAATCCAAGTATTCAGTAAATATTTGTCATATTGTTTTACTTCTTTTGTTACAATTGTCCCCGCTGTTGACGCTGTTATTACAGAGGACAGAGGAGCCAGCAGTATACTGAGATAGGTTTATTAGGATCAAGGATATACTGCCAAGGGTCCAATTGCTTCACAATCTCAACCATTTATCAGGTCCTTATTCTTCTCTAGGCGCTTGGTTTATCACGACCAGGGTAAATCCAGCCCAGGTTCTTCAAAAGAAAGTGACCCCTTTTTTTTTTTTTTTTTTTTTTTTTTTTAATAAGGCAGTATCTATTCTAGTTCCTTTCCCTTACCACCGTATAAATGTTACAAAATATCTTTCTAGTCTCAAGAGCTAAAAAAAAAATAGGTAAAAATGAAACACCGAAGCCCCCAAGGAGGCTCACACTAAGATCTTAGACAGCGTAACGCAAGGGAATCCAGAGCACTTAGAACGATATTAGAACGGAATCTGACATATAAATGGAAGCACATGAGGCTAGCGCTGTACCCAAGAAGACAGTGATGTTAGTGCAATGGCAATATTTCGGAATCTCGGCTGCGATCAGGGAGTTGATAGGCTTTTAAACTATACTGCATCTCCGGCCCAGCTGTGCATTGTTTACCCTCGCTACATCACTCTACATGTATATTCACCCCCGGAAATGACTTTTAGATAGAATCCAGCCCACAGAATATCTGTTTTATCTAATCCTACCATATTTCTTTTGGCTATTTATTGTAGTAATATTTTCCTCATATTTACTATTCCGCCTCATTCTCTATTCCTACTTGCGCTCACGATATGAGAATGCGTCGGCCATGAGGTTCGCTCAGCTTAATTTACTCAGGGATAATCAGAACTAGAATTTCTATCAAAAGCAAGGACATAAAAAGGGTGGCTCGTCTCCATGGAAAGTGCTGAGTCTGAGGGTGATGCAGTATCACTTGATTTTGCTCTCAGACCTTTCTCTCCCTCATCAACCAGCCTTGTCCACTCACCTCTTACCCGTCATTCTTCCCAAGACACTTGGTGAATGAATTAATTTGTACACTCTTCCCTTCTGAATAGTCGAGAAGCTGTCTCGAAAAACATGATAATGTTCTCGATCATCTCCCAGTTCTTTATCCTTGGGGTTTTGACTTTCTGGGTCACACGTGGACCCCGCACCAAACAGTCCGACCTCGACAGTTGGCTCTCCAGCGAAGCGAGCATTGCTCGCACCGCTGTTCTTAATCTAATCGGTGACGATGGCAAATGGGCCGAAGGGGCCGCGCCAGGGGTGCTGATTGCAAGCCCAAGCCGGTCGGACCCAGACTGTACGTTAGCCCATGACTCCATGAGCTCGGATTCTCACTTGGGTAATGATGAGAAGACTTCTTTACCTGGACACGAGATTCGAGCCTAGTGGTTGGGACATTGGTGGAGATGTTCAGAGAAGGTGATTCCGACCTTTTACCCATAATCCAAGGGTGGATATCGTCTCAGGCTCGAGTGCAAGGCGTAGAAAACCCGAGTGGCGGACTGAATGACGGACAGGGATTGGGAGAAGCAAAATTCATGGTGGACGAGACCCCCTTCGCTGGATCATGGGGACGACCACAGCGGGACGGGCCTGCCTTGCGAGCCACTACGATGATTGAGTTCGGATGGTGGCTGGTGGTGAGCACATTGCTCTACTGGGATTGCAGGTTCAGAGTTGACAGTTTGCAGAGTCAGGGCTATCACCAGGTTGCTGCAAGCCTCGTATGGCCTGTTATACGAAATGATCTGTCGTATGTGGCACAGTACTGGAATCAGTCAGGGTTTGGTGAGTAAACCATCTCATTGACACATGAGATTTCATAACACTGACGCGGATAGATTTATGGGAGGAGCTCTACGGGCGCTCGTTCTTCACTTTATCTGTATCCTATCGCGCTCTGGTCGGAGGAAGCGTGTTTTCGCGAAGTATAGGGTTCTCCTGTCCGGAATGCGTATCGCAAGCTCCCCAGGTTTTGTGTCTGTTGCAATATTTCTGGACAGGGAGGTTTATCCGTAGCAACCTCGACAGCGGTCGGAGTGGGAAGGATTCCGGTACGCTCCTAGGCATTAATTACGCCTTTAACCCCCGTGCGGGATGCGATGATGCTACTTTCCAGCCATGTTCAGCGCGTGCCTTGGCTACCCATCATAAACTGATGGGCACGTTCCGGGATCTATACGATATCAATGCAGATCGTAACCAGGACCAGGCTGTTGCCATTGGTCGTTACCCTGAGGACCAATATTCTGGAGGAAATCCATGGTTCTTGTGCACGCTGGCTGCAGCAGAGCAGCTATACAGCGCCATATATCAATGGAATCGTCTTGGCTCTATAACCGTCACACAAGTATCACTTCCGTTCTTCCAGAATTTGCACCCGTCGGTGGTGCCTGGGACCTATTCGTCGTCAACTGAGGTATATTACCAATTGGTTGACAGTATACGTACGTACGCAGATGGCTTCATGCGGATTGTGGTATGTTGATTTCCCCCCCCCCCCCGTCGAGGAGATTCCGTTGGGCTGTAGACATTTAATCTATACCAGAAAACATACGCGTCCCATAACGGTTCGCTCTCGGAGCAATTTTCAAGACATGACGGGTCTCACATGTCCGCATACGATCTCGCATGGTCGTATTCGTCCTTGTTGACGGCGAATCGTCGCCGCAATGCGATTGCTCCATCACCCTGGGGAGAGCCCGGGACACCGAGCGTCCCACCGACTTGCTCCGGTACTAGCGTGCAGGGGACATACAGCGCTGCTACAATCAGTGTTTGGCCCCCTATGAATGGATTTCCAACTTCAACGCCTATGCCGTGTGAGCCCCCTTCTTTCGTTTCCGTTACGTTCGAAGTTACTGCCTCAACTGTATGGGGAGAAGATATACGAGCCGTCGGCTCGACCTTGGACCTTGGTAACTGGGATCCTGCGGAAGGCGTGGCTTTCCATGCCGACCGCTATACATTCTCTCAACCGATATGGTATGCCACAGTCAAGCTACCAGCGGGCCAGAGCTTTATGTACAAGTACATTCGGACGAGAGGTGACGAAATCGTGTGGGAAGAGGGCCTCAATCGACAGTTAGATATCCCCGCGGCTTGCGAAACAAAATCCCTTTACAGGAGAGAGGCCTGGAGATGATGCGAATCTGAGGAAAGGACAAATACTCCAGCATCCGGCAAAGGACTGTTGACGACCAGAGTTGCATTTCCATGTTCACAACCTCGCATGTCCGCTAGGATACATACTCTTATTGGCCACAAAAGTGGAATTCGCCGAGAGAGAATATTTATCAATGCTCCCACCAATCCTCAGGAACGGATGTGTGTACCAAACTCGGTTTTTTAGGACATCCTAAGCTCGTAGCTCAGTTGTTAGACAGTTTCCGTACCTCCATGAAGCCTCAAGGGTCACGTATTGGCAATTATGGCGTAAGTTTCTCCTGCCTGGTGGGACTGGGCCAACACTGCCTCCAGTATCCACGATCCCTTGCCGATAGCTGATAACTATTTGCTTGAGGACTCCGTGCAAGCCCCAAAGCCCAGCGTCCCAATTGAGTGTCCAGATAGACATGATACAATGTTGCAAATCCAGGAATACGAGTTCCTAAGTCAAGCTGACGGAATAAACTTGGAGTAACTTGTTCGATACTTCGGTGGAGCCGATTTGATAGATCGCGTCATCGGCCCTAGTGAGTTGCAAGCCGCCGATCACCCAGGGCCGGTTAAGAATTCTGGCGTTTTGCGCGTACAATGCATAAAGCTGCTATCTCGCTCAATTACATGCAGCAGAACCCAAAGCTGCTTCCTTAGCAAGGGCATCATGAAGCTGAGCAGTCTTGTTGCTTTTGCTGGGCTCTCGGCCCTTTCCGAGGCCAGCCCTAGGGCCCGGCCCAACTTTCTCTTCGTCTTCACAGATGACCAAGACTTGACTATGAATTCCGTCGAGCATATGTCCCATGTTAGCAGTCGCATTCGAGACCAAGGGATTGATTTCACAAACCACTTTGTTACGACCGCGCTTTGCTGTCCGTCGCGCGTCAGTCTCTGGACGGGGAGACAAGCCCATAACACAAACGTGACTGACGTCAGTCCACCGTACGGTATGTGAATCAGGTTTGAATTTCGGAATCCGAAGCTGACTGTTGCAGGTGGGTATCCCAAATTCATTTCCCAAGGCTTCAACGAGGACTGGTTCCCCGTGTGGCTGCAAAATGCCGGATACAACACCTATTATGTCGGCAAGCTATTCAACGCCCACAGCGTTCAGACCTACAACGATCCGTTCGTCAAGGGATTCAACGGCTCGGACTTCCTCCTTGACCCATTCACATACTCCTACTGGAAATCTAGTTACCAGCGAAATCACGAGCCCCCAAAGAGCTACGCCGGTCGGTATACAACAGACGTCACGGAGGAGAAGGCTCTAGGCTTTCTGGACGATGCATTGGAAGACAAGACCCGACCCTGGTTCTTAACCGTTGCGCCCATCGCGCCGCATTTCGAGCAAGACCCCAATCGCACCGAGGGGACACCGCCGCAAGCACCGATCCCAGCGCCTCGTCATGCGCATCTCTTCCCTGGTGCTCGTGTGCCGCGCACGCCGTCCTTTAATCCACTTAACGTAAGCTCCTTGACCAGCCAAAGAAACATCCGAGATCTAACAAAATGCAGCAAACCGGCCCCAGCTGGATAAAGGACCTAAAACACCAAAATCAATCCGTTGTCGACTATGAAGACTTCTTCTACCGCCAACGTCTCCGCGCCCTGCAAGGTGTCGACGAAATGGTCGACAAGCTTCTAAACCGCTTAGAGCGCAGCGGGCAGCTCAATAACACCTATGTTATTTACAGCTCCGACAACGGGTTTCATATCGGACAGCATCGGCTCCCGCCTGGGAAGTCGACTTCCTATGATGAGGATATCCGCGTGCCCTTTTTCGTACGCGGACCGGGGATCAAGCCAGGCCAGACGGATTCCCAGGTCACAACGCACATCGATTTTGCTCCGACGATATTTGAACTTCTCGGGCTGCCATTACGGAAGGATTTCGATGGAACACCGATGCGGATTGCGAAAGATAGTGCTGGTGTTGCACATGAGCACGTCACGGTGGAGTACTGGGGTGCTGCGGTACTTGAAGGGGAGTACGCGAATCTCTGTATGTTTATGAAATCTATATTCCCTCTTCATCTGAGCCATTGTCGACTAACAAACAACGCAGCCCCCGAGAGCACATACCGCATGCCAAACAACACGTACAAATCCGCCCGCATTGTCAGCGAAAAGTATAACCTTTTTTATGCTGTATGGTGCACCGGTGATCATGAATTATACAATCTAAATGTATTTCCCCCTTCATACTACCGTCTCAAGAAAGAAACTCACAGTAGACCCCAGGCCGACCCTCACCAAATTCATAATATCTACAGTTCCACGCCCCAGTCCTTCAAAAACCGGCTTGATGCCCTTCTTCTCGTCCTGAAATCTTGCGCCGGAAGCACATGTATCAAGCCGTGGGACGAACTGCATCCCGACGGCTCAGTGCAAAGTCTAGTTGGCGCGTTAGATCCACAATACGATGAATTTTACGCCGGGTTGCCGAGGGTTGCCTACTCGGTTTGTGAGGATGGTTATCTTATTGCTGCGGAAGGGCCCCAGTGGAGTGGTGTAAGTTTAAATAAAAGGCTCTAAGGATGGCTGTTATGTACTTATAGAGAGACTTATGCCTATACTATGAAAGAAACGGGAATATCCAAATAGTCACGCATCCTACGCAATTACATCACGTAGGTTGAGGTATATATGATATGATCATGGTTTAATTCCTAACGCTCACATGTTGTTGGTTCCTTATAATTAAGCCTAGTTTAATTTGTGTGAATATTCAGACCCGGGCTGGTGCATCTACTTCATGTACTCAGGTCTCATGAGACAATCGAAAATCATACTTTTCAATCTTCCGACTTGTTTGTACTATCCGAAGAGTCATTTATTGGCATATTGACAGTCAAGAATAGGTGAATGTGACGATAGAACAAAGTACTCTTCACAAAGTCTGCCCCTGTTTTCTCTTTTCCCTCCTTCACTTTCGCTTCGTCCTGTTCACCCTCTTTTCCTTCAAGCTCCCTTCTCGCTCTCTTACTTTCCCATATCCTGCACCTTTATCTCCATCGCCAGCCTCGCATTCCCACCATGGCCAAGCTGTTGGATCTTCCAACCGAGCTCCTCCTCCTCGTCCTCTCCCATTTCAACCGCTTCATGTACAAGGACGAGCTCCAAGCTCTCTGTCTATCCTCCAAGCGTCTCTGCTCAATTGCTCAACCATTCCTCTATCGCGATTTCGTTCGTGAAGTTGACTGCCAGTGCTGCCATAAAACCGGTACGCCACCAGGACGCATCGTACCCCTGATCCTCTTCACCCGAACCTTGATCTCTCTCCCAGACCTCGCCTGTGTACGGAGTGCGACCTTTGATAACTCAGAAGACGTATTCGATGATGAGGATGTCCGCGAGGTGGGCTTTGATGCCGATACGTTCAAAGCGCTTGCCACCGGGTTTCAGCGGCTTTCTGGTATCTGCAGAGCTCGTTTATTCATGGAAGCAGCAGCTATGGGGTCTAACCCGTATATTATTGTTTTGGCTTCTAGTATGCCGAATCTAGAGCGCTTGAAATTAACTATTGGAGAAGAGGGACTATATGGCCTTGAGCCACTATTTACCCAATGGCACTCGACTAACCCCGCCCAGCCATACCTCAGAAACCTGAAGTCCATTGTGATAAGAGACTTGACATTTACCGAGTCTGGATCCATGATCAACCTCGACTATATCCTGGAACTACCTCATCTAGAGGAGTTCACATTAATAAATCTTAATGGAGACGCCGAGAGCTGTCCTCTGTTCGAAATACAGCCGGAAACCCTAAACATATCCTCTTTGTCACTCCTAGAGGCCTCTCTCGATACTGAAAGTCTCACAGCAATAGTGGAGGGGTGCAGATGTCTCAAGCACTTCAGCTACTATGGGTGCAACTACGACGGCAACAATCTTGAAGAATCAAGCCAATTTGACCCTTCCGAGCTTGTAACTATACTTTCCTCGCAAAAGAATAATATTATCACACTCAGATGCAATCTTGATTGGGAATACATCCACCCCACCCGTTGGAGCAGGTGCTCGAAATACGGCTCTTTTGCGTCTTTCAAAAACCTCATCCATCTCGAAGTCGATCAGTACCCCTACACTCCGAGACAAGAGCTTCCAAAGTCGCTCCACTGCCTTACAATCAGAAATATTAGTTTCCCCATACTCGACACGGTCGGATCGCTGAGTATACGTACTGTGGATGCTCCCATGTACAGACTTACCAATGAACTCCCGAACCTCAAATTTGTTACTCTGCAACCCCGAGATGTCATCCCAAATGGAATGCTAGGAATACACAGCCGGTACGACCATACAAAGGTGTATGACAACCCTAATGTTTTGTCGAAATTCACTGTCGCGTGTGAGAGACTCTGGGATATTGTGAAGGAATGTTCATTTGTTGTTCAAATTGACCACCAAGTGTGGATGGAATTCTGGTTGAACTACTAACCCTCCAATATTATTATGTGATGCCAGACTCTATTCTGCGTGGAAAGATACTGTGGCCTTCATATTCGAGTATAAAGGCCCCAAGGGAGGGTGACAAGCCAAACTTCAAAAAAAAAAAAAAAGGCCTTCAAGATACTTCATTTTCAATTCCAGATGCCAAATACCAAATGCCCAAATGTTTGTGTTTCAGAGTGTAACCGAATAAAAATGACAGATACGTCGCAGCCTTCAACCGAAAACGGGGAATTAGGGGGGTACCAAAGAACTCATCACTTTCCTCTCGATATTCCCAGTATTATAGCCAATTATTGATGCAAGGACTTTGGATAGTAAACCCCGCTAGAATATGTCCGAATGACACGGGCGAAGATTGCCTGCAAAGCGTCCCGTCACAGACTCCGGAAAATGAACCCAAAAGAGGATGGCTTCATAACTCACCTATAAATGCTACTCGATCAGAGACTTCTAATGTACTTGTTCAGACACCAAAGGCTCGCCGGGCCGTGATCAACATGCAAGAGAACCGATTTGCGCCAATTGAGTGCGAGGATTAATAATTCTTATCACCGCAAATATATAGTACTAAGCATGGTTCAGGCCAGGACATGAATCAGTTGACTATTTGTTAGTGTAGTGAACCCAGGCTACATTGAAACATTCATCCTTGGTGTTACTCCTCGAAGAACGTTTCCCGGTGGATGTACTCCGTCTTGTAGGCAGGGGTGAATCGCGGACAAACTATCTGGCGCGATGAAACCGATGGGTTACCACTTACGAGTCCTGCATTGGCGATGGCTGCGCAATGAGAAAAGCCAAGGAAGACCGAGTCCAAGTCCAGAGTTCCGGCACAGTCAGAGTTGGCCACGATGTCATTAAATTCACCTCAGCAGACAACCACTCTGCAGCATTCGCCAATAAGGTTCGCGGTTTTTTCTTGATTATTCTCGGCGCTGACGGAAACTCCGAGCTCTAAAAGTCAACCGGGACAATTATTCAAAAAGCCCTAGCCGGAAAAGCTTCCATGACCCTCAAGGTGCAGATCCTATCATGGCTGTGTCATTTTTTTTACCGTTATGGTTGCTCAAATACTGGACTTAATCCTGGATTATTGGGTATTTAAAGGAGGCCTTCCCCGGAGCTTCCAGTTTTCAGCCAACTCCAATATATCAAATTCGCAATGAAGTGCCCAAACCTTCCAATGAAAGCTGCCGTACTGGGGCTATGTAAGCCTTCTTAATCATTCTGCCCTTGTACTTTTGTTTCTCATGGTATATCTTCGATGACAATGTGCTGACTCAATAGGTTCCCTTGGAGTGGCGCAAATCGACACATTCTCGCCGGAAAGTAACAGTGAGATATTATACAGTGTCACTGCCCCAGATAGCACTGTGTCCTCAGGTTCAGGGCCGATTTTCTTCCAGATTCGCGCCCCGAATACTCTGGAATGGGTAGGGCTCGGCCAAGGAACGCGCATGGCTGGCGCGGATATCTTCGTCCTATATTCAGCGCCATCGGAGAATGTGACTATATCGCCCCGTTCGGGAACAGGACATGTCGAACCACGTCACAATCCCGAAGCCCAACTTTCCCTGCTGGAGGGCAGCGGCATCCAGGACGGGTTGATGACGGCGAACGTCCGCTGCGACTCGTGCAGCTATTCGGCCAGTTCATCGTGGATCTTCGCCTACAAGCAAGGTGCGGCGCTTGAATCGAGCAGCCTAGAAGCGGAGATAGGTATCCACGATGACTTTGGTGGGACAAGTGTGGCTTTGTCAAGCGCTATTTCAACATCAGACAATCCATTCCTCGACTATGAGCCGAACTCTCCCTCAAACCGGCCTAGTGAGGTCGGGCGAGGCGCAGGAAACAGCGCAAACATGCTGATCGCTCACGGTTTTATCATGAGCCTTGCATTTGTCATTTTCTTCCCCTCTTTCGGTCTGCTTATTGCACTTCCCATTCGCGGTATCGTCGTCAAGGCACATGCGCCACTTCAGATTTTTGCCCTTTGTTTGACCATTGCAGGGATGGGGCTTGGAATCAAAATGGGAAGAGACAACAATGTCATGGATGACTCTCACCCGATCCTCGGGCTGTTTGTCGTTGGACTTCTCATTTTGTTCCAGCCAGCCATGGGCCTGCTCCAGCACCTGCACTTTCGACGCACAGGGGGGAGGAGTGTCTTTTCTCACGTCCATAAATGGTTAGGTCGATTGGCGATCATCCTTGGTGTTGTCACTGGTGGTCTTGGTTTCCGCTTGGCGGGTATTGACAAGAATCCCAATACGCCAAAGAGCGCCGTTATTGCTTACTCGGTGATTGCTGGTGTTATGGGTTTGGTTTATGCGACGGTCCAGGCGCTCAGGACTGCGAGAGACAGCAGAAGGGAAACTATCCGCAACAGCGATTCAAATGGGCGGAAAGAATCTGAGAGGTCGTCAGGATCTGGTAACAGCCGGAATTAAACGTGAAACGCAAGGCGTGTTAATCATGGCTGGGTATCCGGAGAACCCATTCTTGTTAGAGAGCTAGGAAATCACCTCCACGCAGGGGAGAACGACTTGACGAGAAATGATATGTGATTCGACTTTTGAATTATTCGTTGAGACTTCAAATGGTAATCATCTCCGGAGTAATACAAATTGTGAGATTGGCCATAGACAGAATAATGCTGTCTGTCGATTATCAAGCACTGAATAATGTGGCTGTGTTGGCAGATCAGCCACTTATATTTTTTTTATTTTAATTTTTATTTTCACTTTCTTTTCAGCAAGAATCCTCCGTTTTTTTGATCGACGCGAAGAATCAGCACACGCCAGCGCTAGACGTGGATTTGACGAGATGAGATACCAATTCTGACGGACAAGCGGACCTAGGGAGACAGAGGTTTACCCAAGACAAGAGATGATAACGTTCTGGGACGGCAACTTGAGGGTGGTCTGGTATAGTCGGTATTGATAATCCTGAAAACAAAAGAAGAGTTTGAGCGTTTCACGGTGATCGCAAAATTGGGGATTTGATGCAGAACGATGTCGTGATGTGGTTTGTTCGAGCAAGAGCTGCGTCATGCTCTGAGCCTGCGGCATCCATTTTTGTTTTGAGCTTCCAAGCTCAATCATACGTATACGGTGGAGCGCCTGAATGCAGATTCCCCCACATTTCCTCCACTCCCTCTCAAACCCCCGCACACTTACTCGTCGCCTTGAAAGTTGACGGGAAACGCATGGCTCTTCCGAATCAAAGCACGAGCAAAGACGTCTGCCTGCCGCCTAGCAGACTGAATGATCATGCCGTCAGGCCTTACTCTTTTTGGGTAGTTAGCGGTACGTATTGACACTATCAATACCAAATTTGTGGTAGGCAAGGAAGGACAGGAAGAATGGGTAGACAGGCAAAGGGTTGGTCTGTGATCTTGGAGCTATGGTGGGTATAAAGTCAGTCTTCTCTCCAGTAGGGGGGGTGAAACTGAAACGACGAAGAACGTCCGAGTCTTCTGGGCACCAACGGGATAATTGTGTTGTCCGCCGTACAACTGATGAAGAGACTTGTCAGAAGCTCTTTATTCAGCCTCTACTGGTAACTAACTAGTTGTCTCTGGTGCTTGTGCGTCCGCTCTAATGCCTACGGCATTTTCCTGCTCTGATGATTGCCGGCGGCGCGGCAGCCGCAGATGTGCCAAGTAGGGGCGTTAATTGCTTCGCAAAACAAAAGACAAACGGAAGCAGAATACTACTCATCTAGCTGACACACGCGAAGAGACTTCCAATATGGCGGTTGTGGTCAAAAGTAGGGAGCAGTTGCTGGCAGGTTTCTTCAGCCCATGGTGAAGCAAGATGTTCAAGAGCATGCCAGATCATTGAGCCACTCCTCAAAGGTGGGCTTATGTCGGGAAAAACATCACAAACTCATACCTCCCGAGGTCACATCATCAGGATCGGAATCGACTAAATTATATGCATTTTCTTCGTCGGTAAGCATTAAATCCAGTGTCTCCTGTCCTGTACCTGTTGTTGGTTAACATACCAAATACCTTTCGTTGCAGTCACTTCTATGCGCGGGTCGATAAACAAAGCCATTACTCGCTCTTGACTTCTTCGCCGACATGTGCCTGGCAGGTACCATTATCTCTGGAGGCAAATGTATTGATTCATACATGGCTAATCCGGGATGAGTCTCTGGCCGAGTCTAGCTAGAAAGCCGTGGTAGTTCCATGTCTCAGACGCCGTATATGCGATAAATTCCTGGTCCAAGGTGCCTGTGGTGTTTAAAACTCTTGCAGAGACCGTTCAAGGCTTAGTTAGTAGGCGAAAGTTGCGCTGTGGTGAGACCACTAGTACAGTGGTTGATACCCCCTGGTTATTCGATAGCCTAAGAGCTATTAGTTCTCGGGATGTAATGATTCATTCTCCGTCCTCAATTCCTTCCAGAGGCGTATGATTTTACATCTCAGTCGTGGTCCGCATTATCACAGATCGCAAATGAGAGCCACATCCACCACTCTCGATAATCAAACGAAAAGTGAGCCGTGTCCCGAGCTCCGGCCTCATGGGCGAATAACGCAACGCCGACAATGCCCACGCCAGCTTGAATTCATTAGCCACACTGGGCCAAATCGTTAGGAATTTTGTGGGGTTTGCGTCGATTGGGAATACAAACTTCGCCGCTGGATCTCAGGAACACGCAGGAAAAGACTTTGCTTGTTTTCCGGGGTATTCCCATTTCATCCCCGCCGATGTTCTTGGGCGAAAGTCGGCTGGGGATCTTCCCCTCTTGGCTCGAGGTGCGCCTGTCCACCGCATGACTCGCGGGGCCTGGACTTCGACAGTCTCCAGTCTACCCTCTACGCTCTCGCCTACAATCTCAGATCAATTCCGCAGTGACAGCAGATCAGGCACTTTAAGGGCGAGCCGACTACTATTCCAAACATCATTCACCATGCGTGCAGAGTACACCGTACAGACATGATTAAAGCGCCAGGTCTCATCGCTCATGCCGATCGACCAACATCAACCAACCGGTTGCGCAGGAAATCTCTCCGGGCCCGCAGGTTTCAAGACTGGCTTCGTGCGTATTTTTGGGCTTTGGAGGAAAGAAAACGCGGCACCCCAAATCCCCACATTCCGACCCCAAGTCCCTAAATTGGAGGCTAGGTAGGGAGTCAGCGATCTACTCTTAACTAGCGATGATTCCCTCCCCATTCCCTCCCAGGTATGCGCCGGCAAATCTTCGGCGCAGGGCAAGGACGGCTGGCGTATAAATCCCGAGCCCGGCACTTTGATGCCCCATCAATCCGGGTGTCGACATCTTTATCAACAACGCCAACGACTGCGGTGCAAATTCGAAGTCGGCTGTCCGAGTGTGGAAGCTTGAGAAGAGGCAGGTATCACACAGGCAGCAAGTTGTCATCCTCCACGCATTTGGATCGACAAGATTATGCCCCAAAATGACTGCAGAGGCGCTCCAGAATCCCAGTCATGACCAGCTAGCAGCTGTTCTCCCGAGGACCACATGGTGGAAGAGCTCCCAGTTGCGAAGACTCAATTTTTGCATTCTATCCCTAATCTTCTTCTGTGAGTACCCTCTTCTTAGTTTGAGCTACATTAGCTATACAATTCTGACCACCACAGCCTCTTCCAATGGCTTCGATGGTTCCTTGGTCAATGGCCTTCAATCACTGGATAGTTGGATGAATTTCATGCAACAGCCCTCTAGCACCTGGCTCGGGTTTATTAACGCCATTTACTCGATCGGCGCACTTGTCTCAACAGCTCTTGCTGCATGGTGCAGTAACAGGTTTGGTCGAAAGCCCTGCGTTTGGATAGGCATTATTCTTATCCTGGCTGGTTCAATCCTGGGAGCAGCCGCTCCCAATGACACCGTCTTTATTGTGTCGCGCGTTCTTGTTGGCCTGAGTTCCGGCTGGGTCAGCAATGCACCCCCTCTCTTATTGAATGAGATTGCGTATCCCGCCCATCGAAGTATATCATCCAGTCTCTTTATGATTGGATACTACTTCGGGTCTGTTGTTTCCTCCTGGGTCACATTCGCAACTCGCACATATGACTCATCTTGGTCATGGCGGCTGCCCACTCTCCTTCAGATGCTTTGCCCTCTTATTGCTATTCCAGGCTTTCTGCTGACGCCAGAAAGCCCCCGCTGGCTAGTTGGCCAGGACCGCGTGGAAGATGCTCGGAAGGTTCTTGCTGACTTGCACGCAGGTGGTGACCTTACTGCACCGCTTATTGACCATGAACTTCATGAGATCCAAGGAGCAATCGCTGCGGAAAAGGAATCTGCTACATCATCGAGCTATTCAGATATGGTCAAGACGCCTGGGAACCGTCATCGCCTCTTAATCACGGTTTCTCTTGGTATCTACTCTCAATGGTCTGGTAACGGAGTGGTCTCCTACTATCTAGCCATGGTGCTCGACACTGTTGGCATAACGGCGACAAAGGACCAGCTACTTATATCGGGCTGCCTTCAAATCTGGAACCTACTTTTTGGCGCTGTTGGCGCATTATTAGTAGATCGCGCCGGCAGACGTCCTCTATTCTTGATCTCTGCGAGCGTCATGCTTGCCAGTTACATCACCATTACCGGTCTCTCTGGTTCATTTGCTTCGACAGGCTCTGCGCCTACAGGGACTGCTGTAATCCCATTTATTTTTATCTATTTTGCGGGTTATGATATAGCCTTGTAAGTTCAGGGCCTTTCCTTTTTGTTCTCGACTGTCAGGAACGATTAACTCATTACAATAGAACCCCATTGTTGGTTGCGTACCCCGTCGAAATTTGGCCGTACACTCTTCGATCCCGCGGTCTGAGTGTCGCATGGTTATCGGCTATCGGAGCATTGATCTTCAACACCTTCGTCAACCCCATTGCGCTGTCTGCCATCGGGTGGAAGTACTACTTCGTGTTCGTTGCTATCCTCATCTGTTATGCTCTCACTTCGTACTTTTTCTACCCTGAGACTAGGGGCTACAGTTTGGAGAACATGGCCCTTCTTTTCGAGGGTGATAGTGCGGCTATTGCCCGGACCAAGAGTGATTGGGAAAAGCCTGGATCGTCGGAAGAAGGTGCTGAGAAGGATGCCGAAACCGTTGAAGTAGAGCGTGTGTGAGTATTTTCTAGTTGCATAATGGCCTTGGACGAGATTCAATTTGCATAAGCTCAAGATACGGTAAGACACATTCCTTAGTAGTTCTGTTTTATGATATTTGTATACATTTTCTAAGGAAATTGTTAATGCCGTAGAAAAAAAAAAAAAAAAAAAGGTCTCTGGTCTTGACCGAACAAAAATGTCCAGATGCTGGTTGTTTACTTAGGTGTTGTTTTCTCGCAGTTGGTCCGAGCATGACGTCATGTTTTCGCTTCCTCTCCAAAAATAAATATCCGTTGACTCCCCAACCTTCAATTTAATAATGTCCATTACCCAAGGCCTTGCCTTGTCGTTCAAGCAAAAATGCACGCGCCGAACTTGTTTAAAAGAGAATCAATATAAATTAAACCAAAATGACCTACTATAATGCCCTCATCCGCACACACCACATTACCTCCCGCAAGAAGGTTGCCACCCTGAAACGCGCAGCAGATAGTCTAAATTGTTTCGCCATTCTCCGCTCAGGCGGCTGCCCCGGAATCATGTACGTTGAGGCGAAGGACAAAGATGCCGTTGAGTCGTGGGTTAGCGTCGTGAAAAATCTCAAATATAAAGATTTCCAACTTGCGAGCCGGCCAGCGTCCGCGACGGGGGGAGAAGAGGAAGGGAGTCGAGGACCGGCGGGGGTGAAATGGAAAAGAGACGAGAAGAAGAATGGGACACACCAGGAGTTAGGGGCTGGACTGGAGGAGGTAGATAGCGTGAAGGAGTTTGGGAATTTAATGGAGCAAAGAGGCGTTTGGCAGTGGTGGAGGAGGGGAATGGGCTATGTTCACTAAGTTGAATGTGACCAGCTGCTGGCGAACTCGGCACGCCTCTACGAATCGCTATCTTTCGGCTTTACAACACTATGTATATGAAGTGGTACCATCGAAGTTTGACGCAGGCTAAACGGCATGCTCTGGGTGACCAGGCAGCTTCTGTACGGTACTGTTCTGTCCTAGATTTTCCCATGGGGTGGGTTCGTCCGGTTCCAAGGAAGCTGGAGACAGGGGTGTCTTTTGGGTTTGCGTGATCGAACACCTGGGGTCACTCAACCATCCCTTCCCTGTGCATGTTTTAAAGGCTCTCTGCAGGGATACTTGGTCCATCCACCCATTTATGAAATCGCCATGCATGCCATATCCGGTTCGGTCGCCCGTTGCGTATACCCAATTCTGGTGGTTAGGAAACGGCTTTGTGTTAAATATGAATTCCATGAAAATCGAGAATATGGCTACAGGATGAGACTTGGGGCAGACACCTTTGTTATAGTCCCCAGTCTCAGGGTATGCCATCTGCAAAACAGTGAGCTGTCGCGGCACGATACCGGACATTTTACGAGACTTACATGGCTCTTGTGGTCGGCACTATCCAGATTTCTTCCATCCCAGCAAGAAGGAAAGAATACCTGTGACCTTAATTTTTCGCAGGATTGTCGGGGAAGGTGTTTAGTTTCATTCGAGGACCCATCTTCCATCAGACACATATGCGAGATGGCACGTTGGGCGAAATTAGCATCGTTGTATGCCCTGTACATCATCAGTCCAACACAAGCAGAATCAAACGAGAAGCTGGCGTCGTCCTACTGAATTCTCGGGTCCCCAGCCACGATACGCAATCCGGCTGGTGGTGCCAAAGGATACGATCCATCGTTGCATGCCTGCGCACCGGCAGCGTAATCGCACGCCCTATTCAGATAATAAATTGCCTTGTGGACATTAGTAACTGCAGCATTCCACTGATCAACCCTAGCTAACCAAAACAAACAGGGTTAGAGGCACATACACTGGACTCATATTCCATCATCTCAAACGACTTATCATTGGTCATATGATAAAGAGCTGGAACCCAGTAATTGCTTTTATCGATCAAGACCTCACACGTTGTTGCGCTCGCGTTTAGGGCCGTCTGCATACCCATCGTCCTTTGGAAGGCAGTTCCCCCTGTGACAATGTGTGTGTGTGATGATTCCTTCCCTGGGGACATAATGGGGTCAGAGAGTTGAATTGTTAGCGGGAGGCAGCTAAAGCTAAACTCGTCTGTGGTGGAAATAACGGTTGCTTCAGCAGGTTTGTTCGCCCCTATGGTTAAGATGGGCTGTGTGAGGAGGCAAATAGTTATCAAGAAGCCATTCTGAACGTGTCGGGCAGGCATTGTATCTGGTCCAGTGGTCAATTTCCGGGACGATGAGAAAAGAGTTGATCAGGAGTTAAGGACTTGCGGAGCGGCTGTGAGAGAGAAAAGGTGGCATTAAAGAGCCTCGTCCATTACAATGACACAACTGGTATGTGTACCATGCATGTACAATTACTATTTACGTCGTCACCCACATAGCTGGCCGCTGCTTGTCATTCTGGCCGCCTGGTCAACTCTTCGAAATCCCAATGTTGCGATTGATCCGAGCGGAATGTGTTGAATAATATGGGGGAATTCGAGAGTTGTATCAAGACTCTCTCACCAGAACTACTTGTAAAAGGACTGATACTTTTTTCTATAATGCAATTACTCCTAGTACATGTCCCCACCAATTGTTCCTAATTCCACAAACCAATGGCTTCTCAAAGCGGAAGCAATCACCTGTTTCAATTCCTATGCGCCATCGCATAAATCTATTTGTGCAGAATTATGATCTATTGATTTCGAAATACACTATGCATGCTATATAGAGCCGTACTATTTCCCGGGGTCCCCAGCTGGCGGAACATTCCCTGGAGACCAGTTAGGCGCAGGATAACTGAGAAGTTTGCAGACATCCTAGCCAACAATATTTAGCAAATGACCTTCTTAGAATGAGCTGAAACAGGTGCCTTACCCTCCGTCTTACCCGGAAATCGTCATAGAGCTTCATCCATACATCTCGATCACGACACCCGCTCTCATGCAGCGTTCCCGGATTATTCTTGCACTTTGGTAAAATATCAGGCAGCATCTGAGACGGCCACATCACCCAGGGCTTTGGCAACGGCCAGTCGGAAAAGTGTACGAATTTAGCCTCTGAAAGAACTCTATCCGGATCCCAGGCTTCGTCATCACTTCCCAGGAACGCAGTGTGATTCTGTAACCGGAACTCCCCTGAAACCAAACCATACTGCCTGTGTGGCAAAACCATGGCTGAATCACCGTAAAATTCATTCATCAGTTCCATGTCATATTTCATCCGCGGGCTATCGCTACCGGAGCTCTCGGGCTCGATGCCGAGCGCTGTATCCAAAAGGGCTTTGTATCGGCGATAAGAAGGCTCAATGACGAGGAGGAGGGAGGAAAGGGCCTTTTGTTCTGGGAGAAGCCAGTATGCTCGGGGCATCGCGACGGGTACATCTGGCAGGAAAAACAGCTCGTCCAGGTTCTTCAACAATAGAATATCGGAATCGAGGTGAATGACTCGATCATATTCAGTCTCACCGAAGGCGAGCAATTTCGAGATGCTTTTATTCCATGACTCGCCCGATCCTATGACAAGAACAAGTTTGATATTAGCAGCTGCATGACAGGTAGATGAAATATTCCACGTGGAGTAAATGTTCTCATTTGCTCATTCATACCTGCGCCTGGTTTGATCATGTCTAGCTGTATTGGTACCAACATCGCGTTGTACTTCGTCCTTGCTACCCGGAGCAATTGGTTGTCTCGGTCATGGTCAGTTTCAGTAAGTATATCCCAGTCCTCTGGGTAATAGAGCACTCGCTGCGCTCGACTCCCAAATCTTTCTAGAGCATCGAAGACAAGGAGTGCGTTACAGAGATATGGGCTAGAGGTCGCATATTGTGTATATGCGTACCTCGACCAATCGACTAAATCGTAATTGATGTGAGGCAGGGCTGGAGGAGGGGGCGGTTCCCGTCGGAGAAAGAGGATGAGAAGGATCAAGACGAAAATGAAAACCCAGGTACGGATACGCCTTAGTTGGTTTTTCAGTACGGCAAGGAGTGGTTCGTCAGGGATATCGAAGAAATCAGCCTCGGAGGCTCCAGACGCCTTCCGTGAATGAGACGCCATGAGTATTCTAGAGTTCCAGTCGACGATAAATCAGATGGGGTTGGCGTGCATCCCATTTTGGGATTGGATATCTGCGGAGGCGTGAAATGAACAGGCCAACACAAATACGTAATGCCCTTTAGTGGTTCTCGAAGGTTGCCGAGATGATTGCATTATACACGTGACCTTCGCAGTAAATGAATGAAGTTCAGTTCTAATTGTCAAAAGTTCCACATTACTCGTACATCATTAGTTAGTCTACACTATTTAGAAATCTACTCGTTAATGTCCAAGCGGGCTCGGATTGTCTTTTCGTCGAACGGCCCGTCTTCTCCATCGTAGTTGCGGAGCGCCTCCATAGTCATCAGTCGGCGCGGGGCCCTTCGTCCGGTCAATATCTCAAACTGCGCAATCGCTTGTTCGGCAACATTGTCAAGGCCATCGACCAAGACCCACTGGCGCCCAGTTTCGCTACGAAAGCGGCGCATTTGGCGCAAAAGCGGGGTATCTAAGGGTTTATAGGCGAACTATCATGGATTAGTTGAATCCGAAGGGCTGTATAAGGGGATGGTATATGTATACCTCGAGTACAACCCCGCCAGTGGGGCTTCCCAACCACTGTGCTGGCATCTCGAAATTGGCCGGAGGCTCGTCTCTGTCTGGGTCGGCTGGGACGCAGGACGCAACCATACACGGGAAGCAGGCATTCGAGGGCCACTCTTCCTGCAACGAGCGAAGAACATACACCACCTCCGTCGATCCCACCTGAGAAGCAGCCCATGAATTGAAGTGCCGAGCGACACTCTCCGCGCGAGATAAAGTCCTATTGTAAATAAAAATTTTCCGACAGCCAAGTCGAAGCAAAGCGTATATCGCAGCGCGAGCCATGCCACCAGCTCCAATAACTAAGCCAGTTGTCTTCATCGGGCTGATTGCATTACGTGGGGAGAGATTGCGGTTAATGCACGTCATTATACCAACCCAGTCTGTATTCTCGCCATACCATCCCAGCACCGGGCCAGCTAGGTGACGACGACTAGCTTGTTCTTGCAGGGGGAACATGGTTCCGTCTGACTGACCCCTCAGCGGCATTATCGTATTAATCGCCCCAATGGCTTCGGCGTGGCGGCTCTTCGCCGCAAGCTTCTGAAAGACCTGCACTCTCCATGGTTGAACAACGCTAGCACCTCCGAAATTCGGATCTCGACCGAGCTGGTCTAGCGCAGCTAGTGTGGGCTTCTCTGGAATACTGTATGTGTGATCCATGCCACAATGGCGGAATGCAGCGTTGTACATCACGGGTGACAGACTGTAAGCTACACTGCCACCAAGGATATAGAATTGTAGAGGATCCAGGACATAGCTTTGAAATAGAGCCTGAACAGCGTCGCGGGCCATAATTTGCGGGTCCCTACCATTTTGAACACGATGCGTGATTGCTGGATGCGAAACAGGTGTGAGGATCGAATTGAATACTTGCGACGTGCGCCCAAGGCTGCCGATGTTGAAGGCGATGATAGGCGGATGATCGCCAGGTAACGAACCAACTTTATTGGTAAATTTTGCAATGGCGGTGTTATCCTCGCGCCCTGTTGCCACACGAAGAATGCGAACTAGCTGGCACCCTAGCCCAGCAGCATCGAGGTACGCCGACAGGCAATCTTCATCATCCCATTTCACGCCAGAGGGCGGCTCAAAGATTCGCTGACCTATAATCTTTGTCATTCCCCTGTTGCGAATTGTCTCATTTATAACAGCATGGTCTTGGTCCAAGTCCATCACAAGGTACTCAACGGCAAGCCGCAGGCCGTGTTCCACAATTTGGGAGTACACGTTACGGGCCTGTATCGAGTATGGGTCACTGCTGGGGAATCCGAGCAAGCGGTTGTCGATTGATAGGATTACCGGAGTGTGGGTGTTTCTCCGAAGTATAGAAACCTGCTTACTCACTGTCATTGCCATTTCTGGGCTCCAGCGATCGATACAAAGCTCGATAGCGTCCCCTCCAGACTCGAGCTCTGACAGCCTGACTCTCTTTTCAATTAAATCAGAGGAGCGAACAAATATGGCGTACGTATAAGATCGTAGCTCCGGAGGAGTCTCCAGCAACACAAAGGGTGAGTCGTAGCTAGAGTGGCCGACATCGGTACCTGTTACGAAGCGAACAAAGCGTGTGAAATCTTCCTTTGCCTCCTTGAGTTTGAAGGAGTATCCCACCGAGCGCCGGTCCTGCATTTCCTCGTCGAACTGGACAGAAAAGCTCGAGTGATCTTCGGCATTATAATACTCAAAATTCGAGCAAGTCCGATGCAGCGGATCGCCTTCGGAGAGTAGTTTTGCAGCCTGATCCTCTAAACCCAACAGTCTCTGAATCTTATCCATATCGCGCGCTATATACACAACCGGATTCGTAGCGCAGTATCGTCGAAGGTGCTCTTGGATTGGCTGAGTAAGGCTTCCAAGGCCGCATTCGATAACACAGCGCGAACGATAGTTGTCCAGCATCATTTTAAGTACTTCAATATCACGGTGTTGAAACTCCTGGCTTCCGTGTTGTTTCAGATATTCATGCCGCGACAACCCAGTGACCTCTTTGAAATAATGATCCTCCGTGATGAAGCGACGCTTCAGCGCGGTAGCGGCAACGAAGCCTAACGATCGTTTCCCAGACCCGCGGATCCCAATTAGGACTAGAGACGCTTCTGGGTCGACCTTTCGGTACACATCTGAACTAGAACGATGAGGCATCTTGATGTTGATATCAGGAGAGCGACAGAACCTCTTCCTCGGGTGAGAGTGAGAAGGTTGAGAAGGCGAAAGGTCGGCCACGATGAACGAATTTGCTGGCGCCCGGGAGGTCGATGTGTATAGACGTTGATTCCGATGTTATATTCCAAAATTCATCTCTCATGTCTGAAGGAGGTCGCCAGAGTGATGATGAGCGTCGGTGCGCGGTGAAGAAGGGATTGGAAGGGGCCGGTTGTCATGCTGCGGACAAGTTCACGGAGAGGAGGGGAGGGACTATTGTATCGACGATCAAGATCGCAGCGAGTAGGCCCAACTAGCGAATAGACATGGCGGGCGAACGCCGAAGAAAAAACAACGCAGATGAGTGGGCATGTGGACTTGGGCTGCAGTTAGATGCTGGTACGTCCTCCGTAGTACGTAGTCTCCTCCGTATCCAATATTCCAAAATCCAGAGGGGCCAAACCCCATTGCCGCTGCGGCCGGTGGCGACCGCCCTGAAGCGGCAGAAGTCTTTGCCGCTGCAGTTTTCACCATCGAATCGAAGAACGAGGAGGTAGTCTCACCTCGTGTGCTGAACTTGTTTCAAGTCTCAGCTTCCCAAGACTACCGAGTCGGGATGCCGGGCTTCGGTATGCCTCTATTATTTTGTGCCCAAGTGCTGGCATCCTAGAATTACTACATACGACCCTAAGTAGGTAAATACGGCCATCTTGATCCTCCCCGCCGTGTCGTCGTCTAGGCGCAACTTGTCTCGACTGTCACAGCTGCCTCCTCTGTCTTCTGAGAGAATGGATTCTGCAGTCCCGGCGGATCCCAGTCCGAAGGCATAAAAGAAGTGCCGATTACCGGCGGTTTGGGGCCGAATAGCTCGTAAATTTAACTCTGGTCATTTTTCGGACTCGAGAGCAAACGATTTGCTCATCCGCATCGGAGGCATCCAGCAGTGTGTTCCCCGGGACCATTCCGATGATATCAAGTCGAAGCCCGGGGAGAACCTTCCAGTTTTCCGTCTCGTCAGTCGAGTTGCTCTGAAACTTCTCACAGGCCGCCGGCTACGCCCACTATTATTACATTCAATAATAATATTATCAGTTCGAAATAATATGAACGTGTATGCGCAATACGTAGTAAGCCACCCACAAAACCCTCCCGTGGATGAGTGTGGAGAGAGCGATGTGGGGTTGGCCTGGCGGTGGCATTGAGTCCTGGGACTGCACCGTGGAAATCTGGATGTATCCGACGGAATTATTCCCCCATCATCCACTTCCCGAACTTCGCCCCGAATATCCCGTCTAGAAGCCGCTTTTGCTTCCTCCTCTTTCTCCCTGTGACTTTTGCGATGGGCCTAGCCATTTTTCTCCGGGTTCTGCGCGGGCCAAGCAGATTGCTAATCGGCTATTCTGAAGCCCTCACTCGCATATCCCTATCTTGCTAATTCCAACTGCGTTTTCCCGTGCTGGCCCCAGACAACACTTTTCCAGCTTCTTTCCTCCCCTCATTTTACTCATTTGTGTTCCTTTCAACCAGACGGCCTGAAATGAAATTCTGTTGTTTCTTGCGCCCAGCAGCACCATAACTTCTATACACTACACGCTTCCGGGCCGGCTGTAATCTACGACCAGCGCTTCCCCGCTAACCTAAGCTGTATGGCTGGCCGTTTGTTTAACAAGTAATCCTCAATGGACGAGGGTACTGATCCAAAAGCGCCTCGACGCAAGAGGGTTTCGAGGGCCTGCGATAGGTGTCGGAGTAAAAAGGTGAGTAGATACCTCATTCAACACGCAAATCTTGGGCAACCGGTTCTAAAGCCTATGGTTTGATTAGGACAAATGCGACGGTCTTCGTCCTTCCTGCTCCGCCTGTCTGGCGTCCGGCCAGACTTGCTCCTATGACCCTCACGCAAAAAAGCGCGGCTTGCCAGAAGGGTATGTCCGTGGTTTAGAGAAGCTCTGGGCCCTCGCCATTTGCAACATTGATGGCTTTGAGGACACCATGCTCTCCCTCCTCGGTACGACGGCTGACACAGTCGGCCGGAGGGACCGATTAATCTCCCTCTGGACAGATGACGGTGCCTCAGAAACGTTACATGAGTCCTGGAAAACCAGTCGGCTCTATAATTCACTCGAGAAGATGCTATCGTCCACACCCGGTCCCACCAGTCCGCACATCTCAGCGAAGCGCCCCCGAGACGAAAATAGGCCTTCCTCGCATGACTCAAGAAGTGAATGGGGTTTCCGTATAGACCGCAGTTCGACTCCTTTATCGCAGGGGGCTCCACGAGTTGTGGAACCTATTACTTCGCCTGGTACAAAACGAGCGCGATTATCTATGCCGGCTGACAATAGGCCGTCGCCCACAGCAGCCGGTATAAATTCTTTTCAACTACCACCGCACACTTCCCAACTGCTAGACATATACTTCGCCACCACACACCCCTGGTTCCCCATCGTTGCTAAACACAGCATCCTCCGAGCATCTTATGTTTATGCAAATCCGTCTTCAATATCCGTTACCAGCCTATCTTCGGAATCTGGGGACCATGCCGCTTTATGGGCGCTCCTCAGCTACACGATATTATTATCACGGGCAACACCCGAGAACGGGACATTGGAAGATTTATCAAAAACAAGGGAATATTATGCGTTGTCCCGGAGCCTAATTCCTTCGGAAACAGAGCTCTACGAACTCGGACATGTCCAAGCTCTCCTGCTCTTGACTTTGGTTAACATCGGCCTCGAGGACTGGGCCGCCGCCTGGATGCTCACTGGTCAAGCGGTCCGCATGATTATCTCTATGGATATCGGTGCGCTCCCAGACACTCGAAAACCCAACGAATTGAACCAAGGGAAAGTCGTCTTTCTAGGGTGTTTCGTCATCGACTCGCTTTTGTCATTCCGATTATCCAGGCGACCTAGCATGCATTCTCGAGACTTGGTTGTCATTGGGTTGCTAGAAGAAGACGGCCTGGAAGAATGGAATTCGTGGGCCGATGTGCTACCACCCGCCCGCAACTCTAATGGAAAAAATCCACTTCGCCGAGGCCCTTTACTCTCTTTAAGTTGTTTTAACCGCTTAGTTGAGCTGGCCAGCGTGTTGAACAAAATTGCTCGAGACTCTATAACAGGGCCGAATGCTCACATATTTGCTCAGCAATTGGTCTCGGAGTTGAAACAGTGGGATGACCTTTTGCCGCTCGGGTGTCGACTAATTGGCCCTGAAAGCATCTATCCAGAACGGCACTCCGCATTACTACCACATCAGACTTATTTGGGATTAACATATGTCGCTACCCTTCTGACGCTTTATCTTCAAATAGCTCCTCAGGAATTGGGTATGCATCGTTCCCAGAGACCAGCCACAGAGGGAGCAAAGAAACTTCTCTATCGTACTCTTCCAATGATGTCACAGCATCTAGATAACTTCAATGTTTGCAGCTTGCCGCCCATCTTTGAGATATCTATACGCATCATTGCTGAACAAGCATTCACCCTTCGCAACAAAATTGAAAGTGATCTATTTCCTTTTACGCGCTGGGCCGAGGCCCTCGTCCAACGAACATCCCAGCTTAGTTCAACGTGGCCGGTCTATTGTACCTTGACGAGCAATATTGAACAATGGTATCGCACCAGAAATGTCTCTCAATCACCATCTCAACCCTTCTCCCATAACGTGAACAATACGCCAGCAAGAGGGACGAACAAACATTTCAACTACAGCCCTTTACAAAAAAGCTTACTATCTACGACAGCGACAGAGAATGGAAATCTCAACCGCGAAACTTCGCTATTTCCACTGGTTAGACGAAATACCATTAATGTCGCGGAGTCTGACTATACATCCTCTATCCTCGGCATCACCATCCCGGTCGATGGGCAATATATGACTCCGAAAGACACGACACTGGAAAATCCCGAGGCGCCCTTTTACTCACATTACCAGTCTGGTCATAATAGGGCTCCTTCCTCCACGATGGACATTGCAGATCCAGCAAGCGAGCTAGATGCAATGCTTCATGGATCACCCCAACCTCATCCTCCAACACCAGATTCCTCTGTATCCAATCCCATGGCCCCAGGAGATTCCGCCGCCACGAACGAGCACTCTATAGGGTCAGCCATCAGCAATAACCATACCTCCAGCTCCACCTCAGAAAATAAAATACATTCTAGCAATAGTACCAGTCTCGATGCCATCTTCAAAGACCTCGCTTATCTTGACACGACCGAATGGGCCACCAGCCGTGAAGCAGGACTAAAGGATTTCGGTTTCATAGACGATACCACATTTCAAGAATTTTGTCACGATCCGGACCGTCTTGCTGGCTCTCAACCATTGGTGCATCCACCTTCAATAGCGGATATTTGGCCACCTCCTGGGTTCTTCCCTGAGACATTTCGAGATGTCGCCGAGGAGATAATGGAGTGTTAGCTATTCTGTTTCCCTTCTAGCAGGAACACCTAAATACTCGCTTGGTTCAGACGAGAAACTTTACTGCTATCATGCACTTTTCTTTTTTCAATATGATACCCACCTACAAAAAGTCGGAGGTCGAAATTCTTGCCCCTTGTTTGTACTTGAGACTTCGTCACTTATCCGAAGTTGAGTATATATATATATATGTGTGTGTGTGTGTGTGTGTGTGTGTGTGTGTGAGTGATGATCCCTTTGTAGTAGAATAACTTGTGCTGTGTCCGAAAATACCGCCTGTCTCCATAATCGCTGAGAACATTAATACTATTTAACATATCACAACTACTTATCGTCCATGCACAGTGGTTTCATTAATGATCCTCTTCAAGTCACAACTGGCCTATGAGTCGACGGGCAACAGTATACTCTATTCCGTTATATATGGTGGGTTCGGGCATTTCCCTGCATTTCGCATGAGCGCTTTAACTCGCATTGCTATCCAACCAGAATCTACCCCTGGTCGATCGACACCTCTAGTGACTTTACTAGAAATAAAGCATCCTCTATCGGAGAAGGAGAACTGGAGACAGTCTGTGGTAAGAGAACATATCTGTGCACATCCTTCCGCAGTCGTAGGAGGGTTACTATCGGTCCGTGGCTGTTCATCAGAAAGATTGTCCCAGTCGTATTTTTTAGAGCTGATCACATCGTATATTTGCCATGTAAATATATCCTTGTGTAATAGGACAGAGTTTTTTCCCTATTTATAACAGGCCAAGTTAGCCAGTACAGCGAGGGATTGCTGTCATCAATAGCTTACAAATCGAAACCATCGCTGTTCGAACAGCCATATATCTTGAATATCCTGAGAAGACATATGATGGAACGAAACAGCCGGATGGCACCATGGTCGGCGCCCATAATTACTGGTGAAAGGTTCGAATTCCCGTACACTGGACGGAACCAATAGAGGCCATGACCAGACAAGCGGTATTCCTATGTCATGGAGGATCTTACCAAGGACGTGGTCTCCAGCCCAGTCTTCCGCAGTCATCTGCTCGACGGACGTGAAATTCTCAGCACGATACTGAGAGACTAGCTGCGCAGCAAGTCTTGAAAGTACTATACCCGCTCCACCGTAGGCGAAAACGTCGTTCCCCATCTGCATCGGCGTACCAAGATAGTGAGGCATTTCTTGGTTAAATAGCGCCAGCCAATGGATCATATTTCGCCATACTATGTAAGTATCTGCCTCAATGAATATATACCAGTGAGCGTCCGGTTTCACGATGAGTGCCTCGTCGATCATTGGTACAAATTTCCATTTATCAAGTTTCCATCCTGGATTGCGAGGTTTTCCAAAGGGCCCATTTTTATCGTCCATCCAGTCATTGGCAATAAGGCCGTCACGGCCAGATGTACGTAGCCTGTTATATATCTCAAAATCTGAATTCGTTTGCTTTATTTTTCCGCTAACACTGCGGAGAGCATCCCACGTATGCACTCCAAGAATGTCCTCCTCATAGTCTGAGAAAACGGCGTAGTTTGGTACACATCGAAGCGTCGTTTCGAAGTGTACAGGAACCTTATCGAGAGCTTCTGTGGCACCTGTTTTCAGAATAACCAAAAATTTGTGCATTTTGGGGACATAATTGCAGGCGGTGGAATTGTAATCATTAGGAGCAAATATGTCCTTTCCCATCCGCGAGCCTGTGATTTCCGGCGCTTCACGGTGAGCCCAATGTACTCGAAGGATGAGGTAAACAGTTAAAACACCAACAGCTGTGACAAACAGCGAAGCGCAGTATCGTAGACTACGACGCGGGAATTGCAGAGAAGGCATCGGGAACAACGAATGGCTAGTCTTCTGAACCCACTTCAAATTGAAGAAAATCTTGGTGGGATAATATCGATCATCAAACATCGTATACCCAAATCATTGTAGACATCCGTCCTATCTCGAACGTACGGGTAAGAGCGACTAAGGCCAAGGTGCCAGATGTGATGCCCTGCCAGTAATGTAAGGCATGCCAATTTTGGAAGGTGCCCTAAGAGAGGTCTCAGACGCAGGACATACGCGGCGGAGTGGACATACTAATGCGATTGGGGTTCAAGCAAAGATGTTTGTGTTTACGCTATCAGCGCATCTCACTAACAATATGCATTGTACTGTGGAGTTAGTGAGGACTGATAAATGCACATTCGTTCAAGAATATCACGAATCTATATAAATCAACAATGATGAGATCGTGAAGTTTAACACGGTACAGCCGAGTGTTCCTTAAAATTAGTTGTGCATATATAAATATATAGCGGATATACGGGTATTCTCTCTCCAACGGCTCGAGAAACCAACATTCGTACATCCAATTTAAAAACAAAAAAAAAATTCAGCCATAGCTGTTGTCATTCCTCTATGTATTATGAATGGCGGTGAATACAGAATAATCGAGCCCGACAAGCCACAACACCTGAAAGCCCAATCAAACATAAAGCGACGAAATTGCGCTCCAAGCTCCCAAGACCCGAAGGCGTATGAATGGATTTGAAAGGCTTGCCTCTCACTGGATAGCGCAAAATATCATGATCGCCCTAACGCCGGAAATGCAATATGTGCAGGTCGATCTCATTAAAATTTGTTGCATGTAAATTCGTGATCATATCGCTACCATGGAGCCAGAAGCAGGTGTCTGGTTAACCCCGCCAACCGACATTCCAGATGACATGTGCAATGTCTTTCGCTGTGTTGACAGTGTCAGTCATTCTGTCAAAAAGAATATCGGCATTAGATGGCTGTCCATCTTCCTGAGGTAAAAACCCCAAAGACGCCAGATAGAAGTTTTGAGCGGCTTCGTCTTCCTCTTCTGAATCCACAAACCAGGAATTGGCTCCGCCATCCATATTTTGAGTAGGATCCCAATTATTATCAGATACAATGCAATCCCCACCATAATCATTAGGGAATTGCCGGGCTCGTCGCAGCGTTTCCCCAAGAGACGAAGAATATAACCGATGCCCTGGGAGATACTTCGCCCAAGACCAACGGCTGATTATAGAGGAGGGCTGAGGTTCGGGAGTATCCCCGCGGTATTTAAGTGTAGTCGAAGGAAGCGGGGCGATCGTTTTATTCTCACTGTTAGAGCTCCCTCGTGGTGTGGATCCCCCACTAGGAGAGGTTGGCTTTATAATGAACGAATCATCCCAAGAAGACTCGCCTCCAAACTCTAGCCATTCCTCCTCTTCTTCATCTTTTGCTTCCACGGCAATGCATTGTAAAACCTCTTTGTTGAAATGGATGTGGCGCTTTTCACCTGGCGAGCCAGCGCCAGGAGATGAAATATTAGTCGTAGATCGAGCCCGCGGGGTCTCGAGGCCTTGGTCATATGGCTTATCAATCAGAGGCTCAAGGCTTGATAAATGGACTTCGAGTCCTGGGCGATTGCGTGGATGTTCAGCTTCTTGCGCTTTCAGAATCGCGCCCGCATGTTGCAGGAGAGTGTGTTGTGATAGTGAGCGCTGCATAATAGTCTCAGATGCAGTCCTTTTTTTAAGAATGGATTTTCGGTCAGGATAAAGGCTTGGAGATTCGGAGCAGCTGGGCGGGGGTGAAGCATTCAGCGGCTTCGCCCGCACATCGGAAGTCTTAAGCGGGCCATATAGCCAGGTCACGTCACAATCTTTGAGCCTGATATATCGTTAGAACAACAGCCAGAAGCGCCCGGGTAGCGATCATCATAAACGCAAAGTCAACCTACCAGTTCAGAGTGTCAGGGGAAATAGTTCCCAGATTGTGTTTCAGTTTGGACCATGTTCTCCATGAAGCATTCTCCAGCCTGACGCCGTTCTCGTATATTTTCCTGCGACCAACCACGTAACGCCATGATGCCCAAATATCCTCCTCTCTCCACTCATGAGATAGATAATCAACATGTCTCGATGGTTCCTCCTCCACTGAGCTGTCGTCGGCGATCGGTACTGGTCGGCGTGAATGAGGCAAGTCCGCCGACTGATTAACGGAAGTTTCGGTAGGGGAGTTTGGCTCCTCAGAGAATGGTCCATCGTACGGCGGTAACAACGGCTCTTCGTCTTGGTCACAAGGTTCGTTGGAAAATACGGAGCCTGTTGGGGTAGGGGGTAGGTTTTGCGAGGTAGTCGGTGCGAGAATTGGTGAGGAAGGAGACGATGAGGCTGCAGACGATGCAATTGGACTTGGATAATCGGACGGATAAGGAGGTGGAAGAGGTTTCGCCATAGCATCATCTGCGTTTTCTAAAAAGTATCTCTGCGTGACTGGACGCCGCTCTGGATCTGGCGAGAAGCCCGAATGGCTGTCCGCCGGAGACGGTAGCACAGCGGTCATCTTAGCGAGATATCAAGTCCATATATATATGCCAAATTGTCAAGGCTGGCGATTGAAGGTATAAGACGTAGGAGGCAATCGTAGGTGATGGATAAGCAGGCTGCAGGAGGCTACCGAGTGAAAGGCGGGTCAAACGTTATATCCAGGTAGGGAGGGCCCAGTGACTGCCATCGATCATTCGAGTATCCCTGTGCGACCTTTTTGATCCGTGAGGCCTCAAAGTATTTGGAAGGTACAAGGATCTCGCACGGAGAATGAAACAAAAAGGTGTAAAGACGCTATGGGTACCGAGGGCTTTATAAATATGATTTGGGGCTTCGTGAAAGGCAATGTTCTAGACAGAAACTTTGGGGGAGAGTGCGATGGCGAGTGGAGATAGGCCTCGGATAGGCTTTTCTCAGTCGAGCCGCACAGACGTCTGGGGCCGGACAAGAAGCGATAGTTAGTAATGAGATGGAGTGAGGAGAGAGCCTGTTTTATGCCTCCGGAGCCACTCGCTGTTATTGCAGAACAAAATGCCACGCATGTAGATACGGAGACCAAAGAGATAAAGTACGGAGAAAAATAATAATAATGCGCACCAGAGTCCAGAATGATCGGACGATCGGCTGGACAATGGTGGCATTAGCATGGAGCGGAATGTGGAATGTGGATAAGGAGTCGAACGGTTGGCTGCGAGGTTGCCACTAGGTTGGGACTAAAACGTCACATATTAATGAATCATTGGCACCGTATGGAGTTACAGTTGACAGGCTGCAGCAAGAGCTGGAGAGGTGAGCTGGCCAGACTCCAGAATCCGGAATCCAAAATCTCAAACCACCAGCCTGGGCCTTCGACTCTCTTGGGGATGAGGAGCTCTGTGCTCCCCTCTAACCAAATGCGGGCTTCCGGACAAGTTCAACCAACCAGTACTTCGTACGGAAGAGACTGGTGGAGATCACCCGTCTCCGATTCAACTGCTTTCAACCTTCCTGTTGTGATCATCCAGCTTCCCTGATCCTTTGTTCTGCAAACCTTCCCCTCTTCTCCTCGCTCACCTCCTGGCTCTGGTCCCACCGTCCATGCTGGTCTTCCTGCCAGTCTGGTCCATGGTCGAGGTGTCGGTCGTCAATTTGAACCAATTATGAACCACATCCTGACCAAGTGTGAGGGTCAAGTCACGAAGCCCTGTTCACTTGACAAACAGAAAGTCTATTGCTCGATCATTCTGCCTAGCGGTGTTGAATTATTTTCCGTCCCAAGCTATCTTGAGTTTCTTGACCCTCGCCTGGGGCCCTTCGGGATAAGTCGGGCCTGTTTCGACGGAGTGGCGACCTTTCCCAATGCTAATCGTGCTTATCTTGCGGCCTCTGGCAACAAGTGTAAGGCCCCTTGCACTTGCACGCATGGGCGTTGGGTTTTCACATCATCATGCAGGGATTAGCACCATGAACTGCGCCATGATATCTCTCTATCTTTTATAACGTGGGGTGGGCCGACGAAGTGTTCAGAGTCTATACCGTGCTGATCACATCATCTAACGCGATATGAGTACTCGACGAATGTTCCATGTCAAAGTATAGGCCAACAAACCTTGAGATTGGTCTTGACATGTCGGTTTCCGACTTATACCTCAATTTGAGCTGGCACTGAATAAATCGCTAGGATCTTGATTACTTGTACCGTAACAGCATATCGCATGCCAAACATACTGAGTTAAATTGTCGAGTATGCGCTACTGAATTCGTGACCATTCAGCTCCATTGCACTGGAGGACCTTTGGAAAGGCAGATTACAGCTGGGTTTTTGAAGTCATCTGAGCGCAGAGCTGCCTTTGACCCACTACCAACAGGCGTTGGTAACTCCCGGCTCTTTGCACAGGTATTTTTGATTTCAGTATCATTGCGGTCACTCCAGCTTCCGTTTAGTAGCGACAGGGGTCTTGTTCAAAATATAACCCTATCACATCATAACCCACGCTCTCACCGGGGGGCGAGAACATTGATCGAGACAATCAACATCCAATCGCCGCCTTCGCTTGCCTGTGCCGGATATTGATGACATTTATTCCTGAATCGCTGCTGCTGTCGGGTGGCTCCTCTCCAATACTCATATTATGCATCCTGACAAGTCGAAATGCATATGCGAAACATGGCGACTGCCGAATAGTTTCTGTGTAAGACGGAATCCCCAGCGAATAAAACTGAAAGCCCATATTGCAGGTGCTTTGGCATGCTATGGGCTGCATATACATACACCTCACTGTTGGCGCGAGTTCTCCTGAAAATAGCGACCTTGGTGCAAATAACTCATAGCAGTGCCGTTCGAATCCCCAATTTCGGGGCACCACACCCCAGCAGAGCTTCGATCTTGACCTCCTAGCCTTTCCTTAGAGCATTGTGATGAAGAATAGGGCCCAGTGCTCGAGAGCAAGCAGGGAATGTGACACGGTGCCATTAGCTTCCCCGCCCATGCAAAGCCAGTCGTTTCCATGCTTGTGGGCAAGTGCTGGAGCTTAGAATGGCACTAATACAACGATCGCAGGCACCACAGTGCAAAGTATCTTTGCGCCAAAACCAGAGTTTGTATTCACAGTCTTACAAGTATTGTGCGGTATATATGCACAGTAAGAGGCGCTGGTCTCGCCTTACGATCTATGAATCATGGCATACTAGGACGTAATAACCACCGCTGGTTTTATCTATTACGGATTGGTCTTTTGGTATTAGACAATTTCTTTACATCTGACATCATTAGCTTCATTTCATATTTGTGAATATGTACCGGCTCTAACTTAACTGGCAGATGCGAGAGGTGACAAGACAAAAACGTCTGGGGTTCCGACAGACCATTATTACAATCGATGGGTTAGCTTTGAACTTTTGATGGATGTTGACCTTAAAAGTCTGTGCGCTTGCATCTGTAGACGGTTGGAGGCTGCTTCTTCTCATTGGTCGTACCATTATCAGTGGGGTGTGATTGATGCCAACCTCGTAACAGTCAATTGGGGCATATCCCGAGATTCCGATGCGGGAAAAGTTCGCTAAATTGTTGTAAATCATGTGACAGAATTACAATTTTGGAGATAAGGGAAAGGATTGTCTTGAGAGGAGCTTTGAATAATAATCAATGGCTAGGTACTTTCGGTAATGGATGCTCACGGTTTACAGGGGGGCTGTTTCTGACAGAGCTTTAGCTAAGCAACTACTTAGAATATCATGACCCTTCGCTCCTCCCACGGCAGTACTACGGTATTGAACTACCGAAAAACAGCATGTTGGCTGGCGTTGGACAGAATGATCAATTCAGAGGGGATATTACTCGACGCTTGAATGAATTAAAGGCTCTACGCATCATATACTAGTGATAGGCGCCGTCTGCGAAATCCAGAACACATCACATATTACCTCCTCAAGCGAAAGAGGATCTCACCATCCTCATGATTTCTAAGAGTATTAAGTTCATTTAGCTTGATGCTCAGTTGATGCCCAGTTGATGTTGGGAGTCTTGGAGATAATTATGTACATAGCAGATAACATGACTAATTATGAAATGTACGATATCAAACTAGTCTAGAAACAGCACTTGCGCAACACCCCGCGCTTCTCAATAGCATGTGTCTGATATTCGAGCAGCCCGCACACTTCACACATTCTTGCAATCCACTCCCCATGGATTTCGGGGAGAAAGAGATATAAAATAGAAGCATACAATAACCGCAAACATGGCAGAGGTCGCACAAGCTCCTGCAGAAGTTCAAGCTCGGCAGATCACATATTGCGGCGGTAAGTCACCCTTTCTCGGAGCCCATGAACAACAACACATGCAAGTCATCGTCTGGATAATTGACGTTAATTTCATGCTGGGACTTATAGTTTGCACATTACCTCCAGAGGTACGGAAAGTCTTCCTATTTCTATCCATGGACTTGGTCCTTCCTCCCGAGTAGCCACCATATCATGACGACAAACTCCACGTTTGAAACCCCCAATTTCCTGCTCACTCATTAACACAAATTACAGTACTGCGAATTTGGCGGGACGGCAAAAAAATGTCAAGATTGGTTAAAGGAGAACCAGCCGCAACTGTATCAACGGTTATACTCTGATGGTATCGGTTCATTCATCTCTTTTTTTTTTCTTTTAATATCACTAAATGGGGAACTAACAAATATTCATTTCCCCCACAGAAGCTATAAGCGCGAACCTCTCAGCTCTCTCCGTTTCTGTCCAGGAACGCGCAGCCAAGGATGCCGCGAAGAAGGAAGCAAAGGCTGCCGCGGCAGAAGCACGAGACGCCGAGCGACGGGCGACGTCGAAGGTCCAAATAAAGCGTGTCGAGCGGAACAAGCGTAAGCATGTTAGTGTTCTTACGGGCCTCGAGGTTTATGGCCTAGAGAATAAGAAAGTGGCTAAGGAATTGGGCAAAAAATTTGCGACGGGATCCTCAGTCACGAAGTCCGCTGCTGGAATTGAGGAGATCACAGTGCAGGGTGATGTTTGTGAAGATATTAAGGAATGGTTATTGGAACAATATGGAAAGGGAATTTCCGAGTCTAATATTGAGATTGTCGAAGATAAGAAGAAGAAGAAAGGGGGGGCTGCTGAACCCTAAGGTTTCATAAAAATCGATGATCACAACAATCATGCTCTATCCAAAGCTTCCATGTGAAGGTCACAGCTAGGGTAACAAACATTAAAGAACATGCAGACTTGCGAGTCGGGATGGACGTTAAATTTTGATATCATTTCACACAAAATAGAAGCGCTTATATGCAGTTATGGTAATAGTTCATCGAATATTCGTAAGGGATCATAATCGGCAGGCCTAGTAGTTTCATCTGCCGCGGAAGGGGCATGCGTGTATATCTTGGTTACACTTGGGATATCGCTAGAAACGAGGGCAGTTGGCTCCGGAGGTAGTCCATATTCATCCTCTGAATTTCCTGGAAATGCATCATGTTGCTTAGACAACGGGGTGTGAATGGGAGTATTGGAAAGCTTCAGCGCTTTGGGAAGGGTTCTAAAGCCGGGTGACATCCGTTCAGAAGGCCAGTGTCGAAGAACTGTAACCACCAGGACTGCCAATATGGCCGCAGTGAAACCCCCCCAGAAAATGCGTAGTCTTCGGTTTGTTCGCATTTGCCATTCCATTTCTCGTTTATCCCACATTTCGATCTCATTCCGCATAGTTTCCAACCTGTTCCCGAGAGTTTTAGCCCTCGTCTTGTTGTCTCTCATTCGTTCTTCTAGCACCTCAACCCGTTGCATTTGTGGGTGGAATTCATGGAGATCGCCGATTTGCTTTTGGATATCTTGTTCCAAGCTTGTAGTCTCTTGCTTGAAGTCGTCAAAAAGTCTCGATGTTGAGTCCGATAGGTCCTGGAACGAAGCGATTGTTACGTTAAGCGCTGCAATCTTTTCCAGAAGCCCGTAGTAAGTGTAATCCAGTCTTCGCGTAACATCAGTTGCGAGCGTCCCGATCACCGACAGTGCGGAACGCAAGTGTCTTAAGTAAATCATTATCAGCACAAAGTCCTTAGAAAACCTGGCACCTAATAAACATACTCTTCACCTCTGCTTCGTTGGTCTCTAACCCGCTGCAAATCGTTCATTGATTGTATCTCCTCCCACCGTTTGATCGAACCGAGTCGGATGCTTTTGTCGAGGCCATCAAGAATACTACTCCTCCTGCTTCCAGTACCCAAGCACGTAGGTTCAGAGCCCCAGCGCGATCGGGTAGTTTCCCGGGTGACGGGTCGAAGCAGTCCATCATCATCACTGTCCTGTCCTCGGTAGGTCGACAATATACCTCCGTCGCCTGCTTTCGGGGGAGGGTGATGCATTTTGTGTCGGAAAATGCCTTCGCGAGGTCTCCCTCTGCCTTCTCTATATCGCCATTGCGCTCTTCTGTCTAGTAGGGTGACGAGATCAGTAATGGTATCTATATTCTCTAGTGTTCTTCAGCTTCGCTCACCGCTCACATTCACCCTCGAAAGCAGCTCCGGGGGGGCAGACTGCGGGGCTGTCGGGCCTCTCTCTGCGGGCGTTCCATGGTTAAGAGATGCCTTTTCCGAAGAAGGGATAGTAACAAGTAAAGTCGGTCGCATCGAGTGGACCATACCCAGAATACGACAGGATTTTGTCCTTTGAAAGCGTGCTAATAATTTTATTTTTTATTTGAACGAAGTTCAGCACAGTCAGGAAGTGTGCAAATGAGGTCTGGTACAATAATCAGGAGGCTAGAGCCGATGGCACGGCCAGGCCTGCAGAAGCTCCCCCGACCTGCCTTGGCCGAGTCCGATCTGGCCCAAACTCCCTAAAATTCTCTATTTCTGAATTTCCGCCTGCGTATAATTACAGATATTTAAGAATATTAATGAAAAAGATATTGCTTTATGTAACTTCATTCGGCTTCAATTTAAAATTCGGATAACCTGCGGTTGCTCTTAGTTACTTCTCTTCTCAACTCCCAAGTCACCCAGGTGTTTTCTGATCAGTCAGCTCCCACGAAACTCGGAATAGAAAAACACATAAACTAAGATTCATAACTGTAACCCCCACATCAGTGTCATTGACTAAGTCACAAAATCGATGGTAAAGTGATCAGAAAGGATAAAGTCCCGAGGGCGGACGTCAGTGTCACGCTATCACATCCTCAAGCTCAAGTCGTGGGGGGATTTAAGGCGCCCAACTCGGCACACTCCAGCACCTAATGGTTAGTTGCTGCTCTATTACAACGCAGGTGGGGGCAATTATCCAAGAGCTATAATAAAAGTCTGGTGTGACTGCTAAAACAAACAGTGCCCGGAAAATCATAAAAAAGACGGTGACTGAAGAAAGTAGATATAATTGATCTAGGTAAAAAGAAAAAGCATTGACCCGCCGAAGACATTTAGCCAGACACCTGGACGCCGAACATACGTACAAATCAGATTGAAACCTTCTCATGTTGGCAACAACCGTCAGAGGAAGCAAGTGCATATATGTATTATTGCATATGCACAAGTGGCTTCACAACAACAAGCCACTTCATAGACGGAAGACCTATGTGGACCCCTCAAGAGCTAAGTATTTTGTTTCGTTTCTCCCTCCTCTTTAATCTTTCAACTCGTTTTCGATGCATCTTCTCGGCCATCTTTTCATACCGCTCCTTCTCTTCCTTCGCGGCTCTGCGGTCCTTGATTCTCTGGATGTGCGCCTGCAAGCGGTCCATCAACACCCGCAGTGCGGAAACTGCGCAAGCAAAGATGCGGGTCTTGGTTTACTTACCTGTCTCTCTGCCTCCTTTTCTTCCTTTAATTCCTTCTCGTGTTCCTTGATGGCTTCCTGTTGTTTACGTGCCTCCACCCTCTTCGCGTACGATGTCAATCCTGCATTAGGTCGGAAAGGCTTTTTGCTGTTATGCCAGTTTTTTCCTGCGGGTTTGAGACGGTGTATTGTTAGCCAGGAGGGAAAAGGAAAAGCTGACGAAAAAAAAAAGTGGGGAGAAGAGACTTGGACGCCTACCGTTTTTGCGTATTGATTTTACCTCGATAGTAGAGCGTGCTAGGGCTTCGGACGACATCGCGACGATTCCCAGCGGGTTATGGTGAATGAAAAAGGTGTAAGGCTCGAGAGTATGCTGGAGAGCTCCAGATGAGATGTCGGATTTTTTCCCTCGAGTTTTGAGGAAAAAAGTTATCTTAGACCGATCAGATAAACGGATCTCGGCGGAAGTACTAACCCGGTCCCACCCACGCGCCCAAAGGACGACTCGTCGACGAGGATTGTCGGGTTGTTTGCTAAAAGAATTCGCAAACCCGCAACGAACTACCTGCCAAATACTTCAGGCCCCCACTATCCTTGAAATATCCCGCGCCTCGGCCACTTGACCTGCAGATTGCAAGCGATGCGCTGTGGTTTTTGAGCCCTCCCAGGTACCACGCGTGGATTGGACAACGCCAAACCCCTCGTCGGTACACCGCCCCTCACCACCAGCTCCCTCTTAACTCCCTCTCATCCCTCCTTTTTACGATGCTATTTCGATAAAATTTACCATCTGCCCTTTCTCCCCGTACCCCCTTGTCTATTCGGTCGAACTTTGAGGTTTCACAGCCTACCATTACCATCTCTATGGCGGCTACCGAAAATGCGTTGACTATACATAATGATATTCCAATGGAGCTACCTGAACTTCCTCCTAATCAAGGCCTGGAGGCCTTCAAAGATATTGTTTTCGGGTCCGTAAGTTACTCGAGTACCTGTCTCTCATCCGTATACTGCCTGCCTCTTTCTGGCCAGCACTAAAAGTCTTGTTTTTTTTCAGGTTGCGGGAATGATAGGCAAAGTTATTGAATATCCTTTTGACACAGTCAAAGTACGGCTGCAGTCTCAACCGGACCACCTTCCCCTCCGATACAATGGGCCGTTAGACTGCTTCCGCCAATCGTTCCAGGCCGAGGGTCTTCGGGGACTCTATCGAGGTATCAGCGCTCCGATGGCGGGGGCAGCAGTTGAGAATAGCTGCTTATTCTTCAGCTATCGTGTGGTTCAAGACATACTGAGGGCCACATGCTATTCCTCAACGGAGCCGCTTCCCTTCTCTGCCCTACTATTTAGCGGCGCTGCTTCGGGATCAATCACTTCCCTCGCTTTGACACCTATCGAACTCATCAAATGCAAGATGCAAGTGCCGTTGGAGACCCCTGGCGCACGTGCACCGGGGCCATTGGGGCTCGTAGTTTCTGTGTTCCGCCATGGTGGAATATTAGGATTCTGGCGGGGCCAAATAGGCACACTTATCCGTGAAACCGGTGGGGGTGCTGCGTGGTTTGGAGGGTACGAGGGAGTTTCGGCGCTTTTTCGGTCGTACCGATGCCCACCGTCGACAATCGGCTCCTCCGAAGCAGAGCCAGCAGCACTCCCTCTTTATCAACAAATGCTTGCGGGGGCGGCGGCTGGTATTAGCTACAATTTCCTTTTCTATCCCGCTGACACTGTCAAGTCAAGGTTGCAAACAGAAGACATTAACAATACGTCTATCAATAAACGACAAACTTTTTGGGGTGCTGGCAAGAGCCTGTGGCAGCAACAAGGCCTCAGGGGTCTATATCGAGGCTGTGGCATTACCTGTGCACGCTCTGCACCTAGCTCGGCTTTCATTTTTACGGTATTCGAGGGCCTACGGAGTTACTTTGGCTAAAGGTTTTTTTTTTTTTTTTTTAAAATTTTCCGGCGATTTTTTTGGAAGGGGGGGGGGGGTTTCCTCTTTTGCTTGACTTGACGATACCTATGTCCCGTTTTAGATTTAGATATTCTTGCTAACATTTTGCTTGTTAAACCAATCTGGCATTGGCGCCAGAAACAGGAGATCATCAGAGCTTAGATATAAAATGTATCTTTTTATTATTTATTTATTTTACCACCTTACATTTCATTACTAGCTCAACTTTTTTTTTTTTTTTGGGTGAAAACCTTAGTGTTTGAGTGATGCTTTCCGCGACGCAATTTCATGTATTTGAGTAGAAGCAGTTATATGGTATGGTGCATAGTATAATAAGATCGCGCAGAAGTCGAGTAGTAGATGAGACTTGCCGATAACCGCAGCTTGGAGAAGCTTGAGGTGATAAGGCGCCTTTTCCCAATGCAACATTACCGGTATTTTGCTACTCCGCGTTGACCCAGTCTCTTATTCCAACTACAGCTGCCCGTCTTCAAGGTTCTTATTGCTTGAATCCGCCCAAGGTCCATTGTCCTCTCTCTATATATATAGCGCGGCCTGCTAATATGACATCCTACGCTCTTACTACCCGAGAGATAGAACTTCTCTCTTCAAAAGCCAACGCCGCCAAAGAAGCAGCTTATTGTAAGCACCCCGTCTGTGGGCGATTAAACCAAGGCTTCATCGCACCATACCCATTTCCACCTACCTCGTCCAGATTTTGGGCTAAATGCTATTGTTTTAGGCCCGTATTCGAAATTTCGAGTCGGCGCCGCCCTCCTCTCCCAGTCAGGGGAGTTCTTCACAGGCGCCAACGTGGAAAATGCCTCATATCCTGTTGGCACATGTGCTGAGCGAGTGGCGTTTGGAACAGCCATTGTATGCTGCCTGTTCTCGTTGAATATGCTATTCTCTTTCTGTCCTGCTTTACTCTTCGGTTATGTTCCTTAAAATGAGCTAACGGTGCTGTTTGTGTAGGTAGCCGGCCAGCGCCGATTCAAGGCGGTTGCTGTCGCCACTGATATCACACCCGCGGCATCACCATGTGGGATGTGTAGACAATTGTAAGTATCACTGTACTACAAGCCATAGGAATACCCTTCGTCGTGTTCAGTACCCGTACCGGAAACCGATCGCAGAAGGCAGGAGACATCGACCTAGGCACTCCCCCAGCTTGGTTGCCACCTGGACTATCTATCCATCGCTGTAATCTGTCCGCGATATCAAACACCACTAACCCAAGGTATCCTTAGTATAAGCGAGTTCACGTTCCCATCATTCCCTGTTTATATGTATGATAAGGACATGAACTGCACTGTCCTTACAATGGGAGAGGTAAGCAAATGATCAGGACATGTTCCGCTTCTTTTTTTCTTATCTGAGTTTAGTCCATGTACATGTGCTTATTATGAGATGCAGCTACTTCCGAAATCTTTTGGGCCGAATGACTTTGAGCATTAAGCGATATACTCGAGTACCTGCTCGGCTAGATCACATGAAACGCTGTAGCATGACCTGGGTACTTCATGGGATATATCTATTCATGCCTGGCATCCGACAGGAATCAAATAGGAAAAAATAAATATATCTTAATAGTGGACTCAGAACAAACCTCTACACGCTAGAGAGTTTACCAAAGGACCGAGAGAGCAAAAAGAAAGATAGTAATATTGCAAACCGAATATCCAACAAGCTGATCTAGCCAATATCAAGAGGCAAACCCAGAACGCAGCGCTTATAATATTACATCAACACTCACAACACATTAGTCCGCCAAACGACCAAGCAAAGTTGGAGGGCAAGCTGGTCACAATATTATAACTCATCGTCATCGTCACCGTCAAAGTCTTCGAC